TATATACTACATACCTCCAACATCTGCAATTTTATACTTCTCATGTAGAATGACTCTGGCCACAATTGAAGCCATAATTGGAGTGGTAAAGCTCAATACAATAGCCTGAGACAAAGGTAACCTTTGAATGCTGAAATGAAAAATGAACCAATTCAAGTTATTTCTGTGGTGTTTACACATTACAGAAACAAGTTTTAAAGTGCCGAGCTCAGAAGCTGTCTGAAAAGCATTTCAAACATACTGTAGTGGACATGAAGAACATCAGACAGATAAACAAACTTAAAAATATAAGTTAGCCAAATACTTGGAATGCTCTAAAACAATAGCTGTTCCATTAGCCAATGGATGCATTAGTATTTCATCTCTTCAGATCCTACAGTATCCTAATTTTCTGCTCTTCATTATAAGATAACACATATTTTTTTAGAACATAGCCTCATTTTGATCAGCTCGTACACAGTTTACAAAACTACATTTACATGCCTATGGGTAAATAAACTGTAATTTGCATATTGGTAGAATACAGTACAGAAACTGCTTCTATCCACGTGGTAAGTATCATGACATGAATGCATTAACACCAGAGAGAGTAAATCCTCCTACCAAACAAACAGGCAAAAACATACTCACCAATAAATGAAACTTATTAATGAGAGATATCCCATAAGGGCTCTTGAAATCAAAAGATTTTTCACATTTGCCAGCCCAGCTATTGGCTGTCCGCTCTTTCTCAACCACACAAATGACAATACCAAGATAATCATACATCTTGCAAACGCAGCCTCAAGCAAAGGAATGGGCTGAGCTGCCATAATAAAACAGTGTGAAATATAATGAAAGAATAAATATACATATATATATATATATATAGAGAGAGAGAGAGAGAGAGAGAGAGAGAGAACACAAGGCTGAAACAAGTTATGTGCATCATATGCCATGAGACTTGCAATTGAGTCATAAATAGAGTGCAGAACTTACTTACCAGAAAGAACTTCGGAAAAAACTTCCATGACAAAATAGATGGTAGATGAGATGGCCATACACATTAGACCAGAGTATCTCGATCCACTCCATACCCATGAAATAAAATGAGCTACTGGGGATGTCTCTGCTTCAAGTGGTTTCCTTAACTGATCCTATAAACAAATACAACATCAATGTAATCAACAACAAAATAACCTTGCAGACTTCAATCGTTGATTTACTTTTCCTTCTACATTTCCCTCCAAAATGACAAAGCAATCACTAGACTTAATTGAGACGGAACCAAATCTGAACGATCACTATCCGGCACTAAGGCAATAAACTATTTAATCATGACCAGTATTTTCAATTTTTTCACTGCTTTGGTTACTAAACTAAATTTTAGCTCCTTTTGCATGTGGAGTACTAGAAAACTGAAAGTGCAAAATTTAAAAATGAGATTTCTTCAATTTTCACAGCAACCAAAAGGGCAAAACACACCACACTATCAAAAGCCAGATAAATAAAACCCTAGCAATATTATCATCTATATACAATTCAAATTCGTCGTGAATAATAACAAATTGAAAAAAAAGAAGGAAATATTAGATTAAATTAAAGTGAGGGAATCTTACCCTAGGTGCTTTTCGAGGATAAGAGACGGTGAATATGTTGATTTTGGGCTTCTCAGGCGGCGTTAAGAGAGGGGCTATCTCGTCCGTGGCGGCCAGGCTGCCATCATCGGAACCTGATGCGTCGCGCACGATCAGCTCCAGCTCGTTCTCTCCGTCGCTGGTCTCTGCCGACGAAGCCATTCGCGCGCATCCAAATTCTCCAGAAACCCTAGAAAAGCTTTGGCTGCTTCGGAAGGAACAGCTGAAAATTCAATCTGCCGGAGGAGAAGAAATGCCAAATGCTAGTCTTATGCAGTGTGCGTGCGTTGGTTCGTTGGAAAGCAACGCGTAAACGGTCAAGTTGGTGGCACTGTCCACGTGGAGCGACCGCAGTGGGAAGCGAACTCTTTGTCCAGCTGAGTTGGACATAATCGACAGTTGTAATTTCCCGGGCAATGTCGAGTTTTCGCCCGCCATCAGCTTTTTAATTAATTATGAGAAATTTGCTTCTTCTTTTTTTTCTTTTTTTTTTAAGAGACGAGAGCTTCTTCCTTTTTTGTCAGAGGATGAGAGCTTTGCTTCTAGAAAAATGCCAATCCGAAATTTTAACCCAATACTTTTTTATTTCATATAAATACCCAAAAACTTAGAAATCCAAATTTTATATGTTCTTCATTTGATTTCGATTTCTTCCATCATCACAATACAAATAATTTCTTACGATAAAATTACATTAAGCTACTTTAATATACAGAAAAATGAATAAAACTTGGACTATCCTCATGGAAAGAAGAATCGAATTTGGACGCAAGAGAACGGTCATACTGCCTTACCTAAGAAGCCTAACTCACACTTGCTAAACAAACCATATCTTAGGGCCATGTAAATAGTGACAATTCATAATTTGATGCTACTTTAGTTGCTACTTTAAGAGGTCGACATTTTAACTCATGGGAATCCGATGCCTTCTTATGTTTGGAAAGCATATTTAAGAATAATTAAGAAAGTGACTTTTTCCCCCCAAACTTTATGTCCTACTCTGCTAGTTATATCGCACCAGAGCTGGAAACGTTAGCTGGTTGTCCGCAGAGAGTGACATGCGTATGCACATCCCATGTAATTTTAAACTTCAATGTGAAACCATGAAAACTGATCTTCAATCAACATTTGCAGAATGCCGAACAAGAATGATACCGAGCAAATTGGCATCCTTTATTGGCATGGATGTGAAATTCCTATATCTTATGAGTATACCATGCAGCCTGGAGAGTGGGGACTGAGACAACAAGAGTCACTCTAGAAAATCTCCACCTTAGAATACTAACGAAAGCTATGGTTATCAGGACACTTCAATCCTCTGTAATCTTGATACAGCAGGCGTCAGACATACCCTAGACATGAAATCAGATTATTTTTAAATTTTTTTAAAAGAAATCATATAGCCAAACGACTACACTCATTTTTTTTTCAAATTATTTAAAATTAGTACAGCCGGGCGGCTTTACTGTTTTGACACGTGGCACTTAGGCGCTGGGTGCGTATTTTATATATATATAAATAGTCTAGCCGCCAGGCTATACTCTTTTTTATTTTTTATTTTAAAAATATAAAATTAATTTCTTTACTTTTTAGTTTGGCCTACATCTTTAATTTAATATATGTAATTAAGTAAAATCTTAGCCCTTTTGAATTACTTTAATTAGAAATTATATTTTAATTATAATTTAATATATACAAAATTAAAGAAAATGTCCACAAAATAATTAATTTATATTTGTTAAGGCTTTTGTGAAATCGTTTGGGTGTCTTAATTAAATTTCCTCATAGCCCAAGAGCCTTATCCATTACTATTAGGTCATTACTCGAGTATCTATTGTACCTTTTTTATTTTTTACTTTTTCAGAGTTATTACCCATATAAATGTTCTAGCAATTTCATGTTTAATAATGTATTATACACGTACACACGTATTTCTCATGTTTAATATACCTATTTTTTACAAAAATATCAATAAGACACACAAAATTCACTTACTATACACATAATTCTCACATATTATTGAATAAAAATAATATATATTTGGCTATACTCAGTTTTCCCCTAATTGTCTTTCAAAATAGTATCGCCGTGCCGCTATACTCGTTTTTCTTCTTTTTTTTCTTTTTTAAATAGTATAGCCGCACGGCTGTACATGTTTAACACGTGGCGCATAGGCGCTTGGCAGGTCTTTATAGACATATATAAATAGTATAGCCGCCCGGCTATACTAGATTCATGTTGAAAATTTTCAAGAAATAGTATAGCCGAGAAAATAGTATAACCGACTGGCTTTACTGTGTTGACACAACAATTTTCTATTTATTAAGTATTTTGGGAAATCATTTGGGTGTCTCTTAATTAAATTTCTTCATAGGCCCAAGGCCCTAGTCTTGATTAATATAATGTTATTAATGAAAGTCAAATTCAAAGCCTAGCCTATGGCCAAGCCCATTGGCCCAACTCTCTAATGTTATTCACACTTATCAAAGTGTCATGATGCTTTGTTTATAAACACCTTCATAGGAGTGTAAATTTTCGATGTGAGATTTTCACATAGGGCACCTCAAAAGATAGGCCTTCATAGAAATCTGTATTTTTATTGTTAGTTCAATATGAAATTATATTTAAAGCCCTCCAAGGTCTCCGTGATGCATCTGTAAATGCCCTCCAAAGTCTCCATTAGAAATTATAGTATGGAGGGCAGAGTTATGGTTTTGATGTTGACTTCCATTCTTAGTAAATATAGGAACCAAATGAAAAAGATACCGCACAAATTTTACCTTGCCTTAATAACGACCAGATGAGCTGGAAGGTTTACACCCCATGCCAATGGGCTGGTACAAACCAATACCTATAATTGTCCATGACGGTCTCTTGATGGTAATCCAATGCCTTTTTATGTTTTGAAAGCATAGTTAAGAATAATTAAGAAAGTGACTTTTCCCCCCCATACTTTATGTCCTACTCTGCTAGTTATATCGCACCAGAGCTGATAACGTTGCTGGTGGTCCGCTGGTCCGCTGAGAGTGACAATCGTATGCACATTCCCATGCAATTTTAAACGTTAATGTGAAACCATGAAAACTGACCTTCAATCAACACCAAAACAAATCATTTCTATTGAATAATTACTTATATCACCGTACAACATTTGCAGAATGCCGAACAAGAACGATACAGAGCGAAATGGCATCCTTTAATGACCTGGATGTGAAATTCCTATATGTTATGACTATCCCATGCAGCCTGGACTCCTGGAGAGTGGAGAATGAAACACCAAGAGTCACTCTAGAAAATCTCCACTGTAGAAACTTCAATGCGAGCTATGATTATCAGGACACTTCAATCCTCTGTAATCTTGATACAGCAGGCGTCGACATACAATCACTTGTCTCTAGACATGAAATCAGAGCTTAGTGACATTTCAATTTCCTCAAGGGAGCGGCCTTTAGTTTCAACTATGAAGTAGGTAGCAAATATTGCCGTCAACAAGGAGACTGCACCGAAGGTACCATAAACTGGAGCAACTCCAAATTTCTCCACTAAGTCGAGGAAAAATAGACCCACTAAGAAGTTGCAAACCTGAATAAAAAGTTACACATAAATAAAACAAATAGCACCAAATGCAAACTATCATCCAAAAAATACGTGTGGAAATAATTGGGTAGCTCTCAGCCATGACGACATATCAATTGGAAATATAGCAACTATTGTACTTAATCACATCACAAAAAAAAAAAAAAAAAAAAAAAAAAAAAAAAAAAAAAAAAATAATTAACCAAGGAAAAAAACTCAATTACCCAATGAGCAGAAAAACTGAATCCCATAATCTTCCCACGTGACCGGTTGCTGCTAAGTTCGGGTATGATAAGACCAGTAACTGGGCCAGCACCTATTGCAAAGGTGAATATGTACCTACGAAATCATGTGAAGAGAAATAACATCAATAGAGTAAGCACAATACGCGTCTGCTTAACAGAAAGCGTAAATAGAGAATTCGAACATCAGCAAATCTTTATGGTATTTGGTGGTGTTAGCCGTCCTGATAATGAAAAGCATTACCCTCCATCCCAAAAGAAAGAGTATGAACAAATGACAATTTTTTGTTAAAGAGGGGCTACCGGTTTATTGCAACTGTAATATGTGAAATCTTACATGCTGCAGAGAGAACAAATGCTTACATGACAGTTCCCAGTATTGACAAGTTGTCACTTAGTTGCTCATCTATTGGAAAACTGATAGCACATACCACAAGAAACATTGAAACTGCCTGCACATAGACAGAATTTCTTAGTCGGACATGTCCTTGCTAAATAAAATATATGCATTAATAAATACATTTTATTGATATTTTCCATGTTTGCATTTTCAAACTCATGAAACAGAGAGTTGCCCTCCTTTGTTCAATGTATGCAACAGCGACATCGCGCTCACAAAGACACCAGCACTATATGCATAGTAATGTTCTATTCATCTCCAAGAATTAATTCCAAGTACAGCTCACCATTCCCAAGTAACTTCCAATCAAGAGCTTCTGCCTCCCTTGCTTATCAATCAAGTACAAAGCACAAAGTGCCCCTGAATGATCACAATTGATGTGAATGAGAGGTTGATCAAGAAACATTTTTCATTTTACAAACATAGACTATCTCAAACCTGCAAAGTTGGTAACTCCAATAAGCAAGCTTGCCAAAGCACTACTTGTGATTCCGACATCTTGAAAAGTCAATGATGAAAAGTAAAGAACTCCATTTATACCCGCAAACTGTTGAAGTACAAAAAGGGAACCACCAATGAATGCAACTGCAACCATGAAAAAATCATCTCAGTCCACAAGTAAGAATTCCCAAGTTTGTGAAAATTGATTTAAAAAAAACCTGCATATAATTAAGAGAGGCATATAACATCGACCAATCAAAGGAGTTCCTTATAATTTTTTTTCATATTATTAATCGCTCTTTGATTAAGATAAGGTAAGGTTTTCAAATTTAGTTCTGATGATTTTTCATGTGCAAAAGGCGACACTAAATGGCAACTGCTGCAAGTCTTATACAATGTTCAACACAAAGATGCCATTACATGCTGGCATCCTAAGTCCACCACCTTGATACAACCTCTAGAGTTTGGCTCCTGCAAAAGTTCCAACCAGCTGCTGTCCAAATCACTACCATCATTCTTGATAACTGACTGAAATTCTTCAATTGCCTTTTCAACCTCAGATGCTCCCCACACATTTTTTATAACTGCTTTAGCATCGTTCAATCTCCCTACCTGCACAAACAACATATTAAAGCTTCAGGAACAACACATTTGAAAATAAAACGCAATAATTTCTACCGTGAAAGATAAAAATCTTACCTTGCATAGCCAACGGGGGCTATCTACAGCAAACTGCATTCCAAGAGCGAGGATAAAACCAGGGATACTTGCAATATAAAGCATCGTCCTCCACCTAAACAAGATATGCCAAAATATTAGTCGACACTTGACAGGTTCAGAGATTAAATTTATGCTTGATACACTAAATGTTCCAATAATTGCAAGAAATAATAATTTGTTCTTCAAAAATCCGTACATAAGCAAATTCCATATGTATCACTCTCTTGAAACCCAACTATTTCTGGCTCCTTTATCCCAGTATCTCTCAGAAACTTTGTTCATTGTTTTGAAGGCTATTAATGTCTGATATATAGTGACTCTCTCTCTCTCTCTCTCTCTCTCTCTGTGTTACTTGTCATTCAAGTCATAGGCTCAAACCAGAAAAAATAAGTCAACAGAATCTCACCAGTGTGGATCACTTTCAGAGGGAATGCCAAGAAACAGTGATGAAATAATCCCAAGGCATGTGCCAATTTGACACAAGGCTCCCAATGAACCCCTATATTTTGTTGGAGCAATCTGCAAGGTATACAATAGGAATAGATGAGTAAACTTCTCTTCAGATACATAGTGGATGTAATGCAGAGGAAAAGTATGACATAGTATAACCTTCAATATCTCAATCTCAAACAGAGGGCATGAAATCCAAGTTAACCGGTCAAACAAGTTATGAATCTAGTGCGCACTAATTTGGGACTGTATTGGTGGCTTGGTGGTAAAGCTCAATGAGCACTTACTGAAGGTTCAGCAAAGTCTATATGCTAGTAGTGCGAATTACTAGAATGAAGTAGTTTGGTCAACTTACATAACTTTCTCCCAGAATTCTACATATGTCATACTTGATCATCATCCATATCGACCAGAACCAATGGTTTGCAAATACAATTTGACAACAAGTTAACTATCCCACCCGCCCCTCTTATCTAATAGCCTCTACAAATGGAAGATCAACAATAGCAGTAGCAGAATACTTGGTTTTGACTACATAGCATTATTGTATTGGAAATTTGCATGAACATTGTACAAAGTATGCAAATACAACCCATACCTCTGAGATATAGATTGGAACAAGAACAGTATCAACACCTATGCCAAGGCCAACAAGAAATCTGCCCAAAATTACTTCATCCAAGGAATGAGCTTGTGCACTGTCACAAAATGAAAGGAACCCATCATCAAAAAACTGTAAGTGAACAATACCAATACCATACATTGTTGTGTACCAACAAGGACACAATGTTGAACATGGAAAACTGCCATATCCTAATTCGAATGGCAAAGTTAAAATTACCTTATCAATGCACCCAGAATCAGAGGAATTGTAGCAATTTGAAAGGTCCTCCTACAGCCAAGTTTATCAACTATAAAACCGCAGCCTATGCTTCCGAGGAAGGCACCAACAATGAATATGCTCACTACAAGTCCCTCAAGAATCGAGTTTCCTTCAAAAACCCAGTTCGCGGGCGATTGAAAACAATAGGACCATCTCAACAAAAAAAAAAAAACAAAACCACACCAACCCAAAACTAATCAGAAAGCCGAATGCTTTGCTTGTAATTGCAAGTTACAGAGACAGAGACTCACCCAATGTGATAACCAAAGAGAAAATTGGACATGGAAGCTATAAACACGTGAGGAAAAGCAGGTAACCATCCCAAATCAAAACCTTCACCTTTCTCTTGTCCTACCCTTAATTTCTCACTATCTGCAATATTTTATATCATTAAATCCAAAAACTATAATAATTACTGTGAATCTTCTAATTATCATAATATGAATTGCATGAGTTGAGAATAGATGACCTGGTTTCTGAGTCTCTAACTCGGGGAGCTGCTTCTTCACCGCCGACACTTTGTACTTGTTAAGGCGGAGCCGGATACCGAAAGCTCCGAAACGAAACGATTTCGGTTTCGGAAGATACCGACACACGAGTTTCGGGTTTGGGCGGGCGGTAAAGATCGTCGGAACCGGGCCGGCCGGTTGCTGAGGTACTGTAGCCACCCACATCGGTTCACTGTGAGCAGAGGCAGACGAAGTTCATTTCTCGAGGAACGCGATCAAGAGATGATTTCAGAAGAAATATTTTGTTAATGCCCACATGCACAGCATGTGATCCACAGGAGGAATAGGCGGGGGGGCGGGACCCACAGCACAAATTTGCCTCGTCAGCCAGCAAGTGCCATGTGTCCCTCAGCTTCGGAGGGATAAATATAGGGGCCCATGAATCGACTTACTGATGTTTTTATTCCCTGTCCGGGCTTTCTATTTGTATTTTAATTGGGTCCTGATTAGCCTAGTAACCCAAGCTCAGCCCATTACTCAACTAAATAAGTTGAGCAACACTCGGCCTCAACTGAATTTTGTCTAGCAAGTCCCATTTTATATGAATTGTAAAATTTACCATGATGATAAATTCTTCGGTAAACTACAGTAAACTCTTCAACCCATAGGGTCATTTACGAGTTCATATCTAATTTTGGGGACATTTACGAGTACATACTTAACGTCGCGAAAAACCTACAAGTTGTCCCATCAATTAGCGAGATCGTTAGAAAATCCGTTATCTGCCTATGTGGCATTTATGGGACCCATTTTTTAATTGACGTGGACTTATAGGTAGACAAATAAATAATAATAAAAAGAATATGAAAAATACATTCAAGTTGTTTTAAAAAATAAGGGTGATTTTGAAAACTATATTTCACTTCTTTGAAAACTAAAAAATGAAATATGTTACCAAACATGTTTTTGAATTTTCAGTTTTTCAAAAAAATTGAAATAGTTATCAAATTAACCCTAAGCTTTTGGAGTGAATCACATTACATATAGTATATTTTAATTTTCGAAAAAGGCTACCTGGACTAGAACCCATGACATCGTTTATGCAAGTTCCCCCCTTGATTTTGCCAAATTTAACCTTGAACTCTCGTTCGAGATGCATAATTGATTAAACTATTACAATTAAATTGAACGATAGTCTACTACTTCAATTATAATTTATATACGAAATATTTTTGTTCCCACTTCAACACACACACAAGGATACACTCACAACCCTTCTTAATACTTAACACGTGTCCATAAGTATAATCATGATTAACTTTTTACTTAGATTTATGTAATCATGATTATACTTATGAATACATGTCAAGTATTGAGAAATGTGGTGAACGTACATCTTGGGTTAAAATAATGTATAAAAATGCTCACAATTATATAACCTAACAAATTAGATGAACAAACAAATGCAATTAAATTGAATAACGATGGATTACTACTCGAATCAACTTATCATAAGCGCTTAGCTCAAGATAACAAAAGTAAATCTTTTAATTTTAGTCAATATAGATAGTCAAACAAGATAGTTCATGAAAGTAAATTAAAGTCAACACATTTTGGCATAGTTGCGCCGGGAGGGAAGGGGAGTCAAATAGAGTCATCACATCAGTGAAGAGAGTCTGACGAGTCATGAAAATGTACATTTCGAAAGAAACACAAAGGGTAAAAATTATTGACTTTTTCTTTCCAATGTTTTTCTTTTAAAGACACGTTTCAATTGTTTTGGTGGGAAGTTTCGCATTTTTTGTGTTGTAGTTGAAATCAAATTTGGTCCGTCACTCACTATTCCCGTAATTTTCCAGCGTTGTCGGCGAGGGAACATGCCCAGGTCCACTGCGAGTCGGTGCGTCCATTTGACCGCCTCAGCCGGTTTCGCTGTCGACACTCCTCCAGTTCCACCGCAAAAAGAGGAGCCTGACCTGGGCACTGCAGGCCCGTACGGTCCAACTTCTTACACGTGGAGGTTGCACCGACAACTAATCTACGGAGTCAAAACGCGGCCGTATCGCACATTATCCCATGAGAGCTAATGATCAAATTAGCAATTTAAGCACTACCAGATTTCCGGAATTGCTCTGCTTTTTAGGAACATGCCCCTCCAGCCTGCCAGTTTATGGTTTCTGACGAGAGCTTTCATGTAAACAGTAATCACTTTCCTTAATTTTGCTATTATTTGTAAGCTTTTTCTACTAAACACCATGATTATGACATGATATGATACCATACAAAGACCACAACCATCATTCTTGATTGATTGCTGTAATCAATAACAAAATCCATGTTCCTGCCTTTGTAGAAATATATTATTTTTCTTAATGAAATGATTTAATTTGTTATGTTGTCAGATTATTAATCCGAAGTCGAAACTAAATTGTTTGTCAACCTACGTGATGATGAAGATATAGTTATTTACAAGACAGCATTGAGAACCCGGCCCAAAGCATTTATGAAGACAACTTGGCACCTTCCCTTCTCCCAGAGACCAAGATGTCCAGAACCCAGAATTATATACTTGGAAAGAAACTTCTAAGCTATACCCCATGGTCCTGCATCACCAGTATTTTACACCAAACAATTTATGCATCAATGTATGGATCTTACACACTCTAATCCTCTGATCCAAGCCATCTTTAGAAAATTCATTGGCCTTTGAACCACTCTAACATGCTTTTATGAGTATTCAATCATGTGTCGGGCTACTTAACCCAATGGTTCTCTACCTATCTGTCAAAATTCCACAACAATAATATGCCAATTTGGAGTAATTGTTCATGAATTTGTTGTCTATTAGCTCGATTTTTAGTTTATGTAGTCCTTCAAAATAAAATGTAAGGGAAAACAAACATTACCCTGGTACATTGGATGTACCATATATACTATACTTAGTATGAAATCAGATATTTTTAAAGAAAAAAATATATATATATTTTAACAACAAAAGAATGAAATCAAATACGAACAAATGAAATATTATCACATCAATTTTGATATAAAAAATTAAAATAATAATGTAATTACTTCAAATGAAATTGAAAATGAACAAATGAAATACTGTCACATCAATCAATTTTGATCTAAAAAGTTAAGATAATAATGTAATTACTTCAAATGAAATTGAAAATGAACAAATGAAATACTGTCACATCAATCGAGATCTAACAAATCTTGATAATAAGTTGAATGCTTGAGTGCTATTACTCATTACATAAAGCCTTCCACAATCCATGCCTCTTCTTTGTATTTTGTATGTAGTACAAAAAGAGTGTCAAACCGTTGCAAAAATCACGCTTTGTGTTGTGCTGGACTAAAAAGCCACTCTCATCTCATGTGAAAGTCCACATGCACAGGACACCTATCACACAAACAAAGTAGTTCTGGAAGAGAGAGCAGAGAGAGAGAGAGAGAGATAAAGATTTCCCATTTCCCTTTCACTCTTTCACAACAAAAGGTTCTTTAGGAGAGGAGAGGGAGGGAGAGAGATAGATACAATGGAGAAGAAGACGAAGCCGCACCATTGTGGAGCTTCAAAAAAATCAAACACTTTTGTTGTACAATTGTATCTTCTTCTTCTTCTACTCATTACCCTCAACATTTCCACCACCTCCCAAGCCTTCAATTACACAGATGCCCTCACAAAGAGCCTCCTCTACTTCGAATCACAGCGCTCCGGCCGCCTGCCCTACAACCAGAGGGTCACCTGGCGTGACCATTCCGGCCTCACAGATGGCCTAGAGCAAGGGGTATGCATGCCCAAAATTGTCATTTCAACCGCTCATTAACTTCCTACTTAAAAAATTAAGTGTGAATGAGGGTAGAGGGTAAGTGTTAATTTATGGCTGGTTAATTATATGTATTTTGTGTAGGTGGACTTGGTAGGAGGGTATTATGATGCAGGTGACCACGTCAAGTTTGGGCTGCCAATGGCATTTACAGTGACGATGCTCTCTTGGAGTGTCATTGAATTCCGGCAACAAATTGCCGCCGCCGGTGAGTTGGAGCATGCAATGGAGGCAATCAAGTGGGGCACCGATTACTTCATCAAGGCTCACACCAGTCCCAACGTGTTATGGGCTGAGGTACATCTAATTATTAATTTTTGCTACTTCGCTTTAATTACCTATCTGAACACATTGAATTAATTAGTTAAATTTGGGCACATGTAATTAATTATTCAATTGTTGTGACATGCCTAGGTGGGTGATGGCGACACTGATCATTACTGTTGGCAACGGCCGGAGGACATGACAACATCAAGGCAAGCCTACAAGATTGACGAGACTCATCCCGGGTCGGATCTCGCCGGGGAGACTGCGGCGGCAATGGCCGCAGCAGCCCTAGTGTTCAAGAAGACTAACCCACATTATGCCCACTTACTCCTACACCATGCCCAACAGGTACTCTAATTTAAAATTTTCAGCTAGCTAGTTGGTTCAATTAATTAGGTTAAAATAATAGTGTACTAAGTGAGGTTTTAAATGCTTAAGTAGATTTTTTTTTGGTTTGGTGTTGTGTAGTTGTTTGAGTTTGGGGACAAGTATAGGGACAAGTATGATGGGAGCTTGGGAGTAGTGAAGAGCTACTACGCGTCGGTGAGTGGGTTCAAGGACGAGTTGTTGTGGGCAGCTTTGTGGCTATACAAGGCCACCGACAATGAGAAGTATTTGAAGTATGTTATTAGCAAGGCTCATAGCTTTGGTGGCATTGGCTGGGCAATAACAGAGTTCAGTTGGGACGTTAAGTACGCTGGTCTTCAACTCGTTGCCTCTAAGGTAAGTAAAGTTTCCAGTTCTGTATCATATTTACGAATCATATTTTTATTTTTATTTTAAAATCCATGAAAATGAGGTGTATTCTAGTTTTCCACAAAATTAGTGCGGCGTCTACTATTTTTGGTGGGTCCCACACATTAGATATATTTAAAAATTCGAGAATAATGTGATAAACAATGTGATCAGTAACTATATCGTAACTTATATCTAGTGTTAGAATTGATCACAGTTGCTTGCCAGTTTTGATTTTTTTGGCTTTTCAAATTTTCAAATTGAGTGTTGTTGTCTAGGTCATAGTTGCCTACATTTTACCCTCTCAAATCAATTTGGGATTTGGCTTTTCCACCATTCAAACATGAAATAATAAAAGAAGCTTTACATCACGCTTTTACTTTATAAAGTTCGTCCATGGAATTAAGGCACATAGCGAGGATTTAACAGGAACAAAATCAAAGGAAATAATCTTCTGCACAGAGCCATGTGCGAAAAATGATGCTTTGCATGGAAGTTCTGTGGAAAGGCGTGCCACGTGGCAAAGCCTAAGCGGTTACAGAACGTACATAGGTCATCCCACGATCCCCGAGTAGAGACGACTACCCTGCATTCAGATTAGTAGATGTCATCATGGTAGTAAAGATCGCTGATCTAATCAGTTCTTGTCTTCAACCTTCCTCATGGGGCCCAAATCGTTGCATGTGGCTGGCCCACTTGTGAAACTGAGTGGATACGGTTCTTTCATTTAAGGCTCTCCGTCTGTTAGACGAGGCACAGCCTCTCCGGTTTGATTATCAAAAGACACATCATATCAAAAAGGCTCAAATTAGAGATGGAGACGTGCGTTAAGTCAGTTTAATAAAATAGTGATTTTGTCGGTTGGAACCCTCTCTTTGCAGAGAAGATAGTTATAAACTGAAAAATAATGTAACACATGGGTCACATGCAATGGTCTAGAACCATGATTCAAATGGGTTGTTACATCATCCATGCATATTTTGTCCCTGGGACCCTTTGAAACTCACTCCATTAATTTCGGATTTTCATAGTAATAGACCCTGATATTTAGGAGCTAATCGTGTTTTTTTTTCCTTAAGCAAGTTCAATGTTTCATCTGCAGTTGCTGATTGAAGAAAAACACAAGCAACACTCTCACATTCTAGAGCTGTACAGATCAAAAGCAGAGCACTACATCTGCTCATGCCTAAACAAAAACAATGACACCAAAAATGTGGAGCGCACACCAGCAGGCCTGTTGTACATAAGGCAATGGAACAACATGCAGTATGTTTCAACAGCTGCTTTCCTCCTAACAGTGTATTCTGATTTCCTCAAAAGCTCAAACCAGAAGCTCAGCTGCCATGGAGGAATGGTGGGCCATGAGGAAGTTTTTGATTTTGCAAAATCACAGACTGATTACATTTTGGGCGCCAACCCAATGAACATGAGCTACTTGGTGGGGTATGGTCCAAAATACCCTCAAAGGGTGCACCACAGAGGAGCCTCTGTTGAGTCGTATAGAGAGAACAAGGGGTTCATTGGGTGCACCCAAGGGTATGACAATTGGTATGGCAGGGATGAGCCCAACCCAAATGTTCTGGTTGGGGCTTTGGTTGGAGGGCCTGATTGTCAAGATAAGTTTGTGGACCAAAGGGACAATTATATGCAGACTGAGGCCTGTACATATAATACAGCTCCATTGGTTGGGGTTTTTGCTAAGTTTTCAGAGGTAGAGGTCCAAACGATGGATCAAAATATGGGTTTGGTTGCTTCTTATTAGATATACAATATGGTTTGGGGAAACAGAGTGCTGGGTTTATTTGTTATAAGCCCTTTTTTTGGCTTTGTAATGGTGGCTGAACTGAGGTGTTCTAGCCCATTTTGTACCCTTCATTGTTGCAAGTGTTTATAGTATTACCTTTCAAGTATAAAGCTCCACATTCTTTTCTTACTTTAGCTTTTTATTTTATTTTATTTATTTATGTATTATTATTATTATTATTATTTATTTTATTTATAATTTAGTCATGTAAAATAAAAAAAAATAAAGTATAAAGGCCCACTGCAGAAACCAATCATGCATGAATAACGATCATCAACCTATCCGTGCAAGTAATATTAAATTTCAAATGGACGGGTCAGCGGCTCATTACTTAACTTAATCATCTACAAAGTTAAATAGTTGTGAGGTTTTATTACAAAAAAGCGGCTCATTACTTAACTTAATCATCTACAAAGTTAAATAGTTGTGAGGTTTTATTACAAAAAATATCGGTGATATTAGTAGTTAAATCATTTATTATATGTTTATTTAGTCAAGTTTTTAATATGAGACTTTTATTCTTCAATAAGTAAGACTATAAACGGGAAGGGAAGTATAAAATTCAAATTCCCAAAGTTCGAATTGTTTGAATTTCCATTTTCATAGATTAGAGTAATTTAGAATGGTTGAGAATGTCGGTTATACATTAAAAACAAAAATAAAAACAAAAACAAAAAAAATACACGGCGGAATTCGTCTTCCAGTTGTCTCTATCTGACCTCTTCATTGATTATGAAATTGAAGTGGGCCAAAGTTTCTTTTTATTGGGATTGGATAGTCCAAGATTGCAAAGAAAGAATAGCCCTACGATTCACGCCTTATTGTCCTTCATTATGCGATTCTCCCTTTGTGCTAAGTCATAGGCAGCCTCTCAATTTTAGACCATGGATATGGAGCAACGTATATGAATTTCATGTTTATCAGGAAATCATAGACACCAGTGGCGGATGCAGGAATTGCAACTCGTGGGGTCACAAAAATAGTGGCGGCGACGGAGACGGAGACGGTTGGTGGTGAACGGCAGCTAGCACTCTTGGCTGCAGTGTCAAGGGATGAGATAATGGTGGTGGACAGGTACGGACCCAGGAATTGCAAATCGAGCGGGCTAAATTTACCTTAAGTACAAATATATTAAGAAAATTTGGTGAGTGTTTGTGGATTTTGGTTGGTTTTTGTAGATTTTTAAGCTTGAACAATAGATTGTATGAACTAAAAACTAGAGGTAACCCACATGAGTGACTTTTATTTTTTGATAAATTATAAGCCCTTGTTGCTATTTTATTATACGACATTTGAAATAGAGAAAATGATGGAATTATTGATAATATTGTTGAAATATTTGGAATGGATTGAAAGGAAACAAAGATGAAAAGAAAAAAGGAAAAGATATTTATTATATTTCCCCTCTCTCTTTTTTATAATATTTCCCCCTCTCTCTCTTTTTAATCACTCCCTCTCTTTTTTATTCTTTTTTCCTCTCTCTCTCTCTCTCTCTCTCCTCCCGTCTTCCTCTTACTTTATTCTTTTTCCTTCTTCCTTTTTCCCCTCTCTCTTTTTTAATTCTTTTTCCTCTCTCTTCTTCGTGCTCCGGCTGCCACCACCGAAGCTTCTTCTTCTTCTCCATGGGGTCACTTCCATGGCTGCCAAGGGCAAAAACCAGTACCTACCACTAAACTCCAGATCTGCCGTGGGGTCGTCTGACCCCATTGACCCCATGGTGGATCCGCCATTGATAGACACCCACCACAGGCTTTAAATTATGATAAGCTCTTCTTCCCACCACATCTCTTTCCCTCAACAGATGTTTAATCAAAAACCCAAAATTCCCAATTAGTAGTTGTCTGCCAAATTTTGCCAAAAGTTCACCTAATGTCCAAATGGAATCCACCCAATTCTCAAGCTGATACATGAACATAAATTTAAACTATGTTCGGATTATCTTCAATCCTAAATTACATGATTCGGCTCTTATATTGCACCGATATTGTCTTTGAACTTAATATATTCAATGTTTGATGTCCTCTGATATTAGAGAGGCCCTCCTATGGAGCACTAAGGTCTCTTCAATGACACCATAAACAGTAAGACACTACTGAGTCCGATTGCTAAATGCTAATTAGTAAATCGGACCCCTCCATTATCTATGTCTAAGAAGGAAATGGTATGAGTCGTTAGTGTCACATGACCTGGAGAAAAAAGACACTACACCTGTACACGATTTTGGCCGGTCCAAAAAAGTAGCTCAATCTTTTTCGTTATATCTCTAAGATTGTAAAGTTTAAATTATTATTGAGGTGCTTTTGTTTTATTGATCATCCCAGATTCCAAGATGTGACATTATGACCGATCGAGTGTCAAGAAGATTGGAACCCTAGCAAAGGCAAAAGGATTCAAATCAAGCACGTAATATACTAATATACCAAATTGTGAAAAAGAGTAGTTTATACCAGTTCACCAACAGAATTCAACTGTCAAATCCTCAGAGAAACGTTAAAAGTACAATTATTTTTGAATTCTTGTCGACTTGAAAATATCCGAATTTACTTGATACGTATAGTTTATGAGTGATTACATGAAAACATACGAAGTGTGGACCATTTGATATTCCTTGCGACAAAATGTAGCCTTAGCATGTGGATAAGTCCCATACAAAAATATACTGCTTTTAGGTGTGTCATATAGCTTTAGCTGCTTTTGTTTTGAATTTCTCAACTCTCAATTTCGCAATGATGGAGTGGAAGGAAGGACAGGAGTGTCACTTTCCATTTTTGGGTTGCAAGCATAGAAACCACAAAACATACGTACGCATGTTGAAAGTGTTCACATGCTTCAAAAATGTGCTGTAGCTCAGCTACTCCTAACCACTAGAAATTGTGGAGACGATGACAAAGCCAGTTAAACAGAGTCCTTACAGTGCTAAATATAAACCCAATCATACATGCACTGTCATGCTACTACTTATCTGCTGCAAATCCTAAAGGCGAAAAATCACTCTCTCTCTCTCTCTCTCTCTCTCTCTCTTCTGTGCTGAAAGATCTCTCTCTCTCTCTCTCTCTCTCTCTCTTCTGTGCTGAAAGATGGTAGCTACACGCTAACTCAAACAACTCAAATATCATACCAGAAACTTGAAATTTCAATGAGGTTCCTCCTTCGGATTTTTTTTAAACAAATTTTTTCCCTACTTCCCAACAGGTTTTGATATCAAGGGATGGTGAGAAAGAAGGTGCAAGTGATGGAGCTGTGGTGGATTTTAGAGGGAATCCTGTGGACAAGTCCAAAACTGGTGGATGGCTTGCTGCAGGGCTTATTTTGGGTGCTTTATTCTAACTTCCTCTCAAACTTTCTCTTCTTAATCCCATGTTTAATGTTGACTAAATGATCACCATGCTGCAGGAATTGAACTGGCTGAGAGGATCTGTGTGATGGGCATATCTATGAATCTAGTAACTTACTTGGTTGGAAATTTGCATATACCTTCTGCAAAATCTGCAACCATAGTGACCAATTTCATGGGCACTTTGAACCTCCTTGGCCTCCTTGGTGGGTTTCTAGCAGATGCTAAACTGGGAAGGTACTTGACTGTCGCCCTTTCTGCAACAATAACTGGTCTGGTAAGTTTTCAGTCAATTTGGTTCACCAGTCCAATTCTGTAGTATTTTGAAAAGAAAAGAAAAACTGATTTTTCTTGCTTTAGGGGATAATTTTGTTGACATTGGCAACATCCATTCCTAGCATGAGACCACCTCCATGTGATGACTACAGAAGGCAACATCATGAATGTATTGAGGCCAATGGAAAGCAATTAGCTCTGCTCTATGCTGCTTTATATACTACAGCACTAGGCGGTGGTGGTATAAAATCCAATGTCTCAGGCTTTGGGTCTGATCAATTTGATGGCAGAGACCCCAGGGAAGAGAAGTCCATGATCTTCTTCTTCAACAGGTTCTACTTTGGCATTAGCATTGGCTCTCTGTTTGCTGTTATTGTGCTGGTGTATGTACAAGATAATGTCGGCAGGGGGTTGGGTTATGGAATATCGGCAGGGGGGATGATCATCGCACTTGTTGTGTTGCTCTCCGGGACACCGTTTTATAGATTCCATAAGCCTCAAGGCAGCCCTTTAAGTGTCATATGGAGGGTGATATTTTTGGCTTGGAAGAAGAGGGCTTATCCTTATCCTGCTCATCCAAGCCTTTTGAATGAATACCAAGAAGCCAAGATCCCCCACACACAGAGGCTCAAGTAAGTTTATGTAAATCATCTAATGTATCTAAGATCTATGTAGAAAGTCATAAACCATGTACTATCATGCATCAAATCCAACTAAAACCATCACTTTCTCATTAAGGTTCTTCACTGCCATTGACAAAGGTTTTGTTTCCCTATGCATGTGAATGGTTAGGTGTCTAGACAAAGCTGCAATCCTAGATGAATATGCTTCTGCTGAAGGAAACAGAAGCAACCCATGGATAGTATCCACAGTGAACCAAGTTGAAGAGGTGAAACTGGTTTTCAAGCTAATGCCAGTCTGGTCGACATGTATCCTCTTTTGGACAGTCTACTCTCAAATGACTACCTTCACCATTGAACAAGCCACCTTCATGAACCGAAAAATAGGCTCCTTTGATATCCCTTCGGGTTCCTTCTCAGCCTTTCTCTTCATCACCATCCTCCTGTTTACTTCCTTAAACGAGAAACTCATTGTCCCCCTTGCTCGAAAACTCACCAACAATGCCCAAGGAATAACAAGCCTTCAGAGGATTGGAATTGGACTCGTTTTATCAATGGCTGCTATGATTGCTGCAGCAATAGTAGAGAAACAAAGAAGGGAATTCGCTGTTCACCAAAATACCAAAATAAGTGCTTTCTGGCTTGTCCTACAATACTTCCTAGTGGGTGCTGGAGAAGCTTTTGTCTATGTTGGACAACTTGAATTTTTCATCAGAGAGGCACCGGACAGGATGAAGTCCATGAGCACAGGGCTTTTCTTAAGCACCATCTCAATGGGGTTCTTTGTTAGCACTCTGTTGGTGACTGTGGTGGACAAAGTGACTAAGAAGAGCTGGCTGAGGAGTAACTTGAACAAGGGAAGGGTGGATTACTTCTACTTGCTGCTCGCAGTGCTTGGAGCTTTAAATTTCTTAGTGTTTCTTGTCTTTGCAAAGAGACACCAGTACAAAGGCCAGCAGCAAAGTAGCCCTAACGATTGTGTCAAAAAGGAGCAAAAGAACTCAAATGGCCTAAGAGTTGAAGAGATGGCAGAGATAATAAGAATTGAGGCAAAGGAAGGACCCTAGAACGTATGCTTCCAAAAGGATCTTGTGCAATGCAGGTTCTAAACAACTAGAAAAGAAAAAGGAAAAAGAAGATAATTTGTATCATGCTTATTTATCCCTATTAGAAATTTAATCCTTTTCTGGTCTGCAGTCTCAGTCTAAAACTTAAATACAGTGTGATCTAGAATGCAATGTGATAATAGATTTTTATTTATTAAAAAAAAAGAAAAAAGAAAAAAAAGCAGCACAACATCCATGACGCATGTCTGAAAATCAGCCATTCATCAAATCAAACCATCCACTGTGCAGCATATGCAAATAGAAGCCTTGCTTAATTGCAATAGTACTTGCTTCAGTATGAATTCACTAATTCAGAACCACCGCAAATTTGGAGGTACAAAGCCAAACATAGAAATTGATAAAGAACTGGATCCAGCTTTGGCTGCTTATAAGAAATACACTATAGGAAAATTAGTCTCCTCAATCAAAAGGCACGCATCTAAGAAGCTGAAAGCTGACCTCTAAACAATTACATAGGCTATGAAGAAGAACCACTTGCAGAAGCAGGTAGGTGATTTATGACCAAAGGGGGACGTAGAGCTCGGTGGTTTTCCAAATTTTGTTTGCGGGCCTTATACATCTCTTCTGTCTCAATCACGACCAATCTCTTAACCTGTGTGAAAACATAACATGGTAACATTATCAATTACAGACAGGAGAGCTGCCTTAATCCATGAATGCATCCACTGTGAGCTTATATCAAACCTGTTGGAGCATTCCCCTAACTGTAGGAGTGTTCCATCGCATAACAGTTCGGTTACACTTGCGGAGACGTAATGCCTCTAAAGTACGCCTGTGAAGTCTCCTGGTTCCTGGGATTCCCCTTACCAAAGTTATATATAGATTAGGGCTCCATGCAATTGGGACACTGGCTTTAAAAGCCTTGAAAGCATTCATTTCTTCTCCAACCTACACATCCCAAAGTGGTGCCTAAGCCATAACTTCAATATATCTAAAATTTACTAATACATGGCTGCATTAGAATGAAGAAAAGTCCAAAAAGAAGATAATCATAAGAAATTGGGAAGACAGAAAGTCTATGCAAAAACAGGGCCAAAGTTCTATCGTGCCGTTAAACATAGCTTACTATTTATCTATTGAAGATTTCCAGTTTACTAGAAAATGGTAAAACTTTGCTTAAAGGGTTTCAAGCACTATTAAGGCAACATTGCAAAGATAAACATCAAAATATTAAAAACTGGCTAATGCAAATTATCTGCCTCGATTACATTAGAATCCATTTATTTATCGTCCCCTCTTTCTAGCATTTCCGAACATTTGTTGATAAATCTTTGAAAAAAAAGAGAGAGCAGAATAAGGACCCACTTGTAAACCAAGCTCAGTGACCTTGAAACACTAATTTCTCTTCATTTTACCACAACCCACTTCACGGTTCAACCAAAGCCACCACATCATGCAACGATCCATGAAAAAAAGAAAAATGGAGACTAAGCTGAATTTTCATGAACTTGGATTAGTACCCAGTTTTAAAAAGCTAATGCTTTCCACTGAAATTATTAATTTATCCTATTCTCTGATCACTTACTCCTAAAGGTGGAAGGAAACTAAGCCCGTTGTCGCCTAAGCTCAATCTTCTCAAGAACAAACCTTTTCATCTTCATATCACCCAAAATCAGATTTTTCAAACGTTAGATTCAACGTCTACCCGCAATGGACGAACTATAACTAAATTAAAAAAAAACCGAGAGCATAGAAAAAAGAGCAGATAAACAAACTCAAAATAAGGAAGAAACAGAGAGAAAATACATATGTATACATACAGAGAGAGATGACCTCAACTGTGTCTTTCGACGGAGTTGTTACCTGTGATGACGGCGGCGAGGGATAGCGCCTTCCTTGTGTAGAAGAAGACTGAGTGGTGAAGTTGATTTAGCTCCTTTGCTCTGAATGCGTAACTGGTACTGGGGGCCTTTTTGTTTGGGTCTATACCCACCAAGCCCAACATATTTCCAACCCAATGCAATATTTTTTTTTTTCTTTTAAATTTTAAAGGCAGATATTTAAAACCAAAACAGAGGCCATCCCTTTCGTTGGAGGTTGCCAACCATTCCCAAATGCACAAATAGAATTTGTGTTTTTAGATTAGTAGTAACAAGTTCCTCAATAAGTTCAGCTTATAGATGACTGAAGCTTTGCTTGAATTTCCTGCATCAATCAGACGTTAATCGGCTTTTCTATCCTATAGTACCGCTCACTTAAGGACTTAAAAATGATGTTAGATTGATAAAACAAACAGTTTACCAGTGTCATTAATCACAACATTATTTTTTTCATTAGTCTTATTCTTTGGGTACTAAAATAATAATAAAAACTTGACTACATACTTAAGCTATATCCTTGATTCCATTATCCATAAACCAACTTTCCGCTTCACAAGCCAAAAGCCAAAACCAGCACCGCTCCAAAACCCATCTATCTGTTTCTTCATTCTCAGAGTCTCTCTCAGTTTGAAGGCGATCATGTCCTCGTCCTCTGTCAACCTCAAGGCGGTGCCTGGTCGCTTGACCTCTTCGTACAGCGAGGTCCAGGCCAGTCGTCTCGACGTTTCGCTTCCTCTCCCTTCTGTTCTCAAAAGCTCCTTCAGCGTCGTCGATGGCCCTAAAAGCTCTGCTGCTGGAAACCCAGGTCCCTCTTTAATGTTTTATCAACTGTTTATGCACATCATTTATCACTTATTACACAAGCTATGCCCTGTTGTCTATGTTATTTGGGCACTGTGCATGTATGTACGTTTGGCTTATGTATATGATCGGCGACTGTCTGGTTGGTTTACATGTTATTTATGTCTGTCAAGTTTCATCCTGAAGACCCAATTGCTACAATTGCTAAAAAATACTTGTTAATTAATGCAGCCAATCTTCCAAAACCAAACTGATACGAAGTTCTGAACTTTTTCTAAAAATGGGATATATCATATATGGGAGATTTTTTAAATTCCCTCTAAGTCATATATCATAGTTCATGGACTGTTCTTCTGAAATTTGACTTGATCTATATGTGATAATTGGATTTCCATATTGTTTTTTAAATATGATTTTGTTCAATGTAATTGCAGAAGAGATAGCCAAGTTGTTTCCTAACCTATTTGGACAGCCCTCAGCAGTGCTAAATCCAGGTGGTTCTTCAGTACTTTCAAAGGATATAAGTTTGAAGATTGGAGTGGTTCTCTCTGGAGGACAGGCTCCTGGTGGACACAATGTCATTTCTGGGATTTTTGGTCAGGCTCTTGCTTTGCTTTAGACAACTTTTAACTTCTGTTAAAACGTTGCAATAAATAATTCCAGTAATTTATTTTTTCCCGTATTTGTGGTTAGATTACTTACAGCACCACACTAGTGGAAGTACAGTGTATGGATTTAAGGGTGGTCCGGCAGGTATCATGAAGGGTAAATATGTTGAATTGTCTGCGGAATTTGTGTATCCTTACAGAAATCAGGTAGTCTTTGTTTCTGTATTGTGATTATCAATTAATCTTCTGCACTCTTTCCTTTCTTGTGTGGTAAGAAATATTTGGCCAAGTAGATTGCTCTTGTATAGTATGTTCTTTGTAAAAGACTTTGATCTAGTTTGCTTTCCATTAAATTTGCAGCATGTTTGACAAGTTCACTTTCAGAAATTTGTTTCTCACAGACTCTTTTAACAGGGTGGCTTTGACATGATTGCTAGCGGCAGAGACAAGATCGAAACTCCTGAACAGGTTACTTAATTGTTCTTGCAAAATTGATCACTTGCTTATCAAATTCATTTCTGTATAGATTTTCTTCTCCTGGATAAGATTTTAGATATACGTTAATGAAGTTTGGTTGTATGCCTTCCAGTTTAAGCAAGCAGAAGAAACAGCAAAGACGCTTGATTTGGATGGGCTTGTGGTCATTGGTGGGGATGACTCAAATACTAATGCTTGCCTTCTAGCTGAATATTTCAGGTACAAGTTATCCCTCCTCAAGTTAATGATCTGCTATGCCTATGCATTTCTGCATTTCCTTAGTTTCTTTAGAGATCATGTTCATATGCGTTAGTATTTACACTCATATAATCATCCAGATATATCTCTTATGCTATTAATTTTTTAGGGGTAAAAATATCAAGACACGGGTAATTGGATGTCCAAAAACCATTGATGGTGATCTGAAAAGCAAAGAAGTGCCCGTCAGTTTTGGATTTGACACTGCATGCAAGGTACTTCTTATGTTATCATTTGACGTTGTGATACAACCAACTTTATGCTCTACAATGTATCCTTTTTGTTATCTCAGTGCAATATTTTTCACAATTGTGTGTGTGAATTAACATGCAGCTATATTCAGAAATGATTGGTAATGTAATGACAGATGCCCGTTCAACTGGGAAATACTACCATTGTAAGTGCTCTGGTTGCAAAAGAATATAGTTCAGACTACGTCATGCTTTATTTGTATGTTGTTTTCATGAGCAAATATTTTACAAAATTATCATGGGTTTTCACATTACTTTTTATTTTATTTTATTTTAAATTTTAGGAAACACATTGCATATTTATTTTTATAGATTAAGGGTGAGTATTAGCAAACAGTACTTGAAATTCAACATTGAAGTGACCTACTTCAAGTTCATCGTATCGGAAAGCTAGCAGGTTCTCCAAGCCAATCCTGAAATTTGTGATTTTTAAGTCCTACTTTATTAGTAACCATTTGTTAAGTTGGGGGAGAAATAATAATAAAAGTATCTATCTTTACCTAAACTATAGCTAGTATATAGAATCTGGTTTTCTCTATTTTTTATTTATTTATCAATTATAGGAGTGCCACTTCTGTTGCACAACCTGATTTTTGTGGTTTGATGTGTTTACCCCCTTGCCATGCATATGAATTATGAACTCATACCATAAATGTTTATTCTTGATTGTTCTCCTAATTGTCTTCTGCAGTTGTAAGGCTTATGGGGCGTGCAGCTTCTCATATAACCTTGGAGTGTGCTCTGGAGACTCATCCAAACATTACAATTATTGGGGAAGAAGTATTTTCTGATATCCTTTTCTTTCTGCCAATTAGCTACAATATAATTGAAAATGATACTAGCCAACTTCCAACTTTTTGATAGGCCAAGTAATCTCTTTTTTTTATTTATTTATTTTTTATATACCACTTCTCAAATTTTGCTCCAAATTATTGGCTCTCTGTTGACATGTTGGTTAATTGAATGCAAACTGAGAGGTGGTGACTTATGATCTAGAAATGTGCCTGCTGATATTTTTTCTGGGTCCTCAAATTTTTCTTCACCCCTAGTGAGATATGGAAGAAAATATCGTGAAGTTTTGAGGGGGTACCGATAATTTTTTAGGTTTCATTTCCATACATCCATTTTATAATTAGAAGAACGTAGGGATAAGCCTTTAGTTTCTATATATCTTATACTGTTGTGACTTGACAATTTTTCGTTTCACTTCATGGCAGGTTGCTGCCAAGAAGCAGACACTCAAGAGTGTAACAGACTATATAACTGATATAATGTGCAAACGCTCAGAACTTGGATTTAATTACGGTGTCATACTTATACCAGAGGGCCTGATTGATTTCATTCCGGAGGTATCATTTTGAATAATATGAGATGATATAACTTGCTTTATTCTCATAATTTTGACAGCTGGGAATTTGTTATAGTTTTTTTCCTCTTTTGGCGTTGCCATAAAACTTGCAGGTGCAGCAACTAATTGCAGAGCTTAACGAAATATTAGCTCATGATGTTGTTGATGAAGCAGGGGTGTGGAAAAAGAAACTCCAGAGCCAATCTCATGAGCTTTTCGAGTTTTTGCCTCCAACAATTCAGGAGCAACTACTGCTTGAAAGAGATCCACATGGGAATGTGCAGGTTTATTCTATTTATTGTCATATCTTTCCCCCATATCTGTTGGACTTTGTTGGAATATTGCATTTTGTTAAGTCTTACACAATGTTAAGAATTTAGGTTGCCAAAATAGAGACAGAAAAGATGCTCCTTCAGATGGTAGAAACTGAACTGGACAAGCGGAAGCAGGAGGGTAAATATAAGCGGGACTTCTTAGGAAAGACCCACTTCTTCGGGTACCAAAATATTTGTGCCTCTGGTTCCTTCAGTTCTCATTTTTTATAATGGTCCATAGAAGAGACCGTGTGATCATTTTGCCATATGTTTTGTTCCTGGCATCAGATATTATTTGATACTTAATTTTTACTTTGTAGTTATGAGGGTAGATGCGGTTTGCCTACGAACTTTGATGCAAACTACTGCTATGCATTGGGTTTTGGTGCCGGAGCCCTCCTCCATTCTGGAAAGACTGGGTTGATTTCCTCTGTAAGTTATAATTGTTTTAGCATCAACTATTTATTCTTTCATTTTTCTTAGTTAATCAAGTTAGTTTCTTTTTGTATTTGTAACTCCAAAGTGTTTGCCTTCTTTTAAAAAAAACTCCAAAGTGTTTGCCTAATTTAAATTGTGTATGCAGGTGGGAAATTTGGCTGCTCCAGTGGAGCAATGGACAGTTGGGGGAACAGCACTGACTTCTTTAATGGATGTGGAACGGAGACATGGTACATCGCTACTCGCCTTTTCACCATTCAATTTAGGCTAAATACTCCCTCCGAAACCTGTTATGTTTTTATATAATGTTTATTACTGGACTCTTCCCCCAAGATCTGAACCACCAATATGTTCAGTGACACATCATGATACTGAAGCATTTTGAGTTAAGATCATAGAAATTCCTTTATCATGAACCAAATCAAGCATATTTAAAATTTGAGAGTTTTAATTTTGCAGGGAAGTTCAAGCCTGTGATTAAGAAAGCAATGGTGGAACTTGAAGGTAAACATTTTTCTGAACTTTTCATCATCTTATTGCCTCTATAAATTGAAGATGCCTCCTGCCAGCAATTATCTGCAGTAGTAACATGGTGCACTGCTTAACACTTTCTTAATTTCTTTCCTGGTGGAATTTCAGGCGCTCCATTCAAAAAATTTGCATCTTTTCGTGACGAGTGGGCGCTTAAAAATCGTTATGTTAATCCAGGTTTGTCATAACCCTTCTTATTTTGCCATATCCCAGCTTGGCTCCTATTTCAGTAGTATGGATTGTGCCTTAGACATGGAGGTTTATGGAATATAAAATGCCGGGTTTCTGAATTACTCCATTTTCACTTTTGATCAGGTCCGATTCAATTTCTTGGCCCAGCAGCGAATGCCATCAACAACACTCTTCTGCTGGAACTCGGAGCACAAGCATAGGAAGAAGGAAAATCAATGTCAATTTTCAGTTTTATCAAACCACAATCACTTCAGCCAACGTGTATCAACTGGAACTCGGATCCATTTGACTTGTAGTTGCTTAATAGGTTTCTTTTCTTTTTCCTCATGTCTAGCTTTTAACTCTTTTTGTTGCCTAACTGTACCTGGCTTATAAAAGAACAGATAGTTCACTTTCCAGTCCTCCTCATTAGTAAGAAGAGTAATAAAGTTGACTGTAAATATTGTTCAGATTAAATCGAGCAACATTTTCAAGCTTGGGCCCAAAATGGATAGGCCTATTTGCAAAGTTTTTTATCGTTACATAATCATCTCAACAACAGAAGCTTAGAAACTACTCACTATCAAAAAGACATTGTTTTTCATTAATTAGAGTCCATCGAAGTACCTTTTTCCAACAGAAGCTTAGAAACTACTCACTATCAAAAAGACATTGTTTTTCATTAATTAGAGTCCATCAAAGTACCTTTTTCTTTTTGATAGAGTGATTCAGGGACGTGGATCGAACTCGGGTATAATGAGGCTCATTGCCTTGGTTAATTGGCTTAATTCATGTATGCCCATTCAAGTACTATTTTGGGACAAAAGAGCCCAATCAATTGAGTTATATGGACCTGAATTTAGCGAGGCCCCCAAACCCAAATTTGTGGGTCCAAGTCCGATGCTTTGGGTTTAAACACCATTTACGCAGAATGCCAAACCCAGAAGCTCAAAGGTGCGCAAAAAGAAGGAACTAGTCAGAGGCAGAGAAGCTAGTGAGCAATGAGGAACAACACTTTGTTGACATTCCTTGCTAGACGACCATCGACAACAACAACAACCCATAACCCAAATTTACGTTGGCGGTTCTTCTGTTCACCACCCTCTTCCTCCTCTACTGGCCCAAACAATAAGCTCTTCGTTGGAGGTCTCTTCCTACTCTCATACCCGTTGGAAGTTGTGTAAATTTCGTTTTGGTGTGTTTCTATGGTGATATGACTTTTGGGTCTTGCAGGCTTGTCATGGTCGATGGACGAGAAGTCCTTGAAAGACGCTTTCTCTTCCTTCGGGGAGGTCACTGAAGGTAAAGTTTCCTGCTTTATGAACTAACTTGGCTACCCAATTTACATGTTCTTCATCAGTCATCTATGTGTTCGATGAAAGGTCCAAGTGATCACTAGCAATTATTTTTCAATGAGTTAGAAGTTACGCATTGCAAAGTTGAATTTTTTATATAATAAATGACAGAATCGATTCTATAATCTAAATCAGCTGCGCATTTGTATTGTAGTGAAGATAGTGTATGATAGAGACTCAGGAAGGTCTAGAGGCTTTGGATTTGTTAATTTCACCAAGGAAGATGATGCCCAGGTTGCAAGAGATGCCATGGATGGAAAGGTGATGCAGAAGTTATAATTGTCATTTACCAAAATTTGTTGTCTAAGAACATCTTCTGATTGATGTAGTTCTGTTCTGCTTGCAGGCATTGCTGGGTCGGCCATTGAGGGTTACTTATGCTCTGGAAAGAGTTCGAGGTGGACATGTTGTGGTTCCTCGCCTTTCCGACAGTGGAGATGCTAACAGTCGATATACATGAACTCATGTGGTAATTTATTTTACTTGTTGGTCAATCAATCCATCTATTTAATAATGAAATTTACTTAGAATTGTTTTGACTGATTATTCCAGAGATGGTTCATATGCTTTATGCCATGTCTAATGAAAACATAATTTTAAGAGGAACTCAGTCAGGGTTCAGTCATCTTAAAACATCTTAACTGTACTTTGAATTACAGTTGCAGTTGCAATGATTTTTCCAAGCATGTAGCTGAGATCATTGTTTCCCCACATCCTAGTATATAACTGTTTTAGAAACTACAGCAACCAGATTGGCGGCCACCTCAGTAAAATGAAATTAAAGTTTCCTTTCAAGATCCATCTCTTACTGCTTGCTCACATGCATATACAAGTGCCGCATAAAAGGAGGCCTATTTTAGACTGTCTTTAAACATTCAAAGCCAGTAGTTTTCTTTTCCCCTTAGAGTAACAACTATGTAGGTTAAAAATTGTAACTTAAAATGTGTGTATGCACACACACAAAGCAAACTCCGTTTCACGTTCTTCATCATTATATGCTTCTTCTTGATTATAAAATGCCTTCTAGGAGTTCCCCAACATCTGAGTTTTCTGTTTGCAGGTGGAATTAAATTTTATAAAGTGCTTGAAGAATCTAGTCGAAGTACAATTCTTACCAAGTTATGTTAATTCACGCCAAGGATCAAATGAAATGAGCCGCATTATGAGAATACATATATCTCTAAGAATGTATGAAATTATTTGTTTGTAAGGGACCAGGGCTTTTGTGCTACTTCAAATATTCTAAATTCTTGTGGTTAAACCATAAACAGAATCCGACCCAAAAAAAAAACCCACCAAAAAACAGAATATTTTAAAAGAGAGTATAGCCGAACGGCTATATTTTATAAAAGAATATTTTAAACGTACAGCCGATCGGCTATACTCTATAAATCGAATATTTTAACAATATCGAAGGGCGGCTATACCCTCACGTTTTAACCGTATAGCCGTGCGGCTATACCCCATGAAGCCGAGCCGCTATACTATTTAAAAAGATTATTTTTAGATATAGCTGCGTGGTGATATTTCATAAAAAGAATATTTTAAATGTATAGCCGGCCGGCTATACTCCATAGAAAGAATATTTTAACAGAGAGGATAGCCACGCGGGGGTCCTCCAAAGGCATGAACAGAATATTTTAAAAGAGAGTATAGCCGTTCGGATGGACGCCATAAAAGAATATTTTAACAGTACAGCCGTGCGGCTATACCCTACTAACATCACGTTTTAACAGTATAGCCGTTCGGCTATACACTGAGAACAGAATATTTCAACAGAGAGTATAGCCGAACGGCTATAATATTTAAAAAGATTATTTTAGGTATAGCCGATCGGCGATACGCCATAAAAATAATATTTTAAACGTATAGCCGGTCGGCTGTACGCCATAAGAATATTTTAACAGAGAGGATAGCCACGCGGCGTTGCTCCATAGGTATGAACAGAATGTTTTAAAAGAGAGTATAGCCGTTCGGCCTTACTCCATTTAACAGTATAGCCGAGCGGCTCAACTCCAAAAAAAGATTATTTTAAAATGAAAATTTAAGTAATATAATTTATGAAGTTAATTAAATTGTTTTTCTTTTATATATGAAATAATGCATGTGGAACGACATGCCGTTAATCACTTCTGCGACCGAAAACAGACATGCGAAGCAACACGGCGTCGTTTCACTCGTTAAGCGAAGCGAGGAACAGATATAAAACATGGAGCACAAAACAAATGCCTTCTCTCTCTCACATCAGACTCTGCACTCCGAAGTCTTGGAGAGCAATCAAAGAATCCGATCAAGAGTGGAAAGCCATGGAAACCGAAGCTCAAGAATCCAATCCCCAAAACGACGCCGTAATCAACTCCTTCTGCGAGATCACCTCCGCCTCCAAACAAGAAGCCCTCTTCTTCCTTGAAAGCCACAACTGGGACCTCGATGCCGCCGTTTCGACATTCTTGGACAACAACACGGTCGCCATCTCCGTCGACGAGCCCCCCAACCCCGGCTCGTTTCCAATCCCGGCCTCCCACTCGCTCTCGCCATCGCCCTCACACTCGCCCAACTACTCTCCTTCACAGTCGCCGCCGCGCTCTCGCTCGCCGTCTCCGACTCCCTCTCGCGCTCCCTACCAGCTTCGATCGAAGCGCGCCGCCTCTAGTGGGGCCCAAGACAAAGCTGATACCAAGCCGCCTTCTGCGAGCCGTCCACGTGGCATACGCACGCTTTCCGATCTGAATCAGCCGGCAAAGGGTGGGTCCGGCAGTGATTCGGATGAGCCCCAGGAGTACTACACTGGTGGCGAGAAAAGGTACTATCTTTTGCGAGTTCTTGTTTGGTTCCTGAGAATGTCGAGGAAAATCACTGGTTTTTTTCCCTAATAAGGAATAAGGATTGTTAGTTGCTCTAACCCCATGTTCGGGAACCGACAAAATGCGGAATGTGGAATGTAATGCTTTGTGTTTGTGTGCTGAAAATTCGTTTTCTTTGCAACCAAAACAGATAAGCTGAAAATTATGTTTGGTCCCTGAGAAAAATGGTGGTCAGTAAAATAAAGAAAATTCCAATTGTTGTCGTTTGTCCATAACAAAAGAAAATAGGAATGCATCTGAACTACGAAGATTATTCTCGGCCTGAAGAACGTCCTAGAGAAATTAGCCTCATAGGGACCCGATTGTAGGTAGTCTTACCGAGAATCAATGTTTTGTGGTTAAGGAGTTGTCTTAAAATGTATTCCAATCATTGTCAAGTTGGTTCAACATTCTTGCTTTTGTTGACCTGCTACCACGTTTTATTCTTTGCAATTGTTCATTTAATATATGTTAGTTTGAATTTGTCATTGTTGGTTCCAGCGGAATGCTTGTCCAAGACCCTACCAAAGGCAGTGATGTGGATTCAATTTTCAGTCAAGCTAGACAGTTAGCGGCTGCCCAGGGACCTATAGATCCCCATCAACCTTCTTCAAGCTCAAAAAGTTTTACTGGAACAGCTAGACTGCTTTCAGGGGAGACTGTTCCAACTGCTGCACCTCAGCCACCTGAAGTTGTTATTCACACCATTACTTTCTGGAGGAATGGGTTTTCTGTAGATGATGGTCCGTTGCGGAGGCTGGATGATCCTGAAAATGCACCTTTCTTGGAAGTAAGTTTTAATGAAGCTTCTCTATAATGGGTTTAATTATTCCCGAATTTTATGATTCTTTCTGAAAAAGAAAAATTGGTTTGGTCGCTTGTATGAGTCTACCAGCTTCTTTTCCTAGTGCATTGATATGAACTTGATTTTTTTTAGTATATAGAGTAAATCTAAACAAAACTCTAATCCAACCTGTTTCAAATCAACTGAAAATGGCTTAATGTGTTTTGGAAATACTTCGGAGTATGACACTCTGGCGATTGGGCGTTGTATTCTCGGGATTCTCGAGGCATGTGCCACTGTCACGTGACCGGGGTTTCGGGATGAGTAAACTTCTTTCTCAAATTTACTTCCACAAGTTTTGATCTCATTATTTTGATAAGCTTGTTGAAAAATAGCACAGTTGGTAGCCAAACTAGAGGTTGTCCCAAATGAACCTTTCAAAATATTGCAATTAATTGTTATGTGTACAAATTTCTTAAGTTCTGATTAGTTGCTCTCCTTTCGCCTTTTGTTGCAATTATAGGTTTTCATTTTACTTGCTTTTGTATTTTTTTTCTAGTTTGATCTCTCTTCTAAGTCCTGATAATGTTTCATTATTATGATTGCAGAGCATCAAGAAGTCTGAGTGCCCAAAAGAACTTGAGCCAGCCAATAGGAGGACTGCTGTTCATGTTAATCTTATGAGGCGGGAGGAAGAATACCCTGTTTGTGCTTAGTTCTCTCCTACTTGTATATATGTTATTAATATGCATCTGGTTCATTCTTTCTGATGTTTTCTAGTTTTGTTCCAGGAACCAGTGAAGCGGCATGTTGCTTTTCAGGGTGTTGGAAGAACTTTAGGTGAGAGCAGCTCTACCTCTGCTGCAGCTACCTCTGAGTCAATTGCTGCTGATCTTCCCCTAAGAGCTGCTCCATTGCCCTCTATGGGCTTAACTGTGGATCAGTCATTACCATCAACCTCTATTCAGCTAAGGTTAGCAGATGGTACGCGTATGGTATCTCGCTTCAACTACCACCATACAATTAGAGACATCCATGCTTTTATTGATGCATCAAGACCTGATGGGGCAAGAAGTTACCGATTGCAGACGATGGGGTTCCCTCCGAAACAGCTCTCTGATCTGGACCAGACAATAGAGCAGGCTGGTATAGCCAATTCTGTTATTATCCAAAAACTCTAGGCAGTTGCACCCATCAATTCCGGAGCCATATTCAAGTACATGTGTCCTAAGCACAGATCTATTTTTCTGTGATGAGTTTATGTTATATGTAAGGAATTTGAAAAATTAGCTATGAAACCATTCAACAACCGGTTTATGCTTTTTGATGCAATGACTTATCAGTTTTTGCAAAGCATACAAAGTAGAGTTTTCATTTGATGAGATGCCTTTCATTTAATGCTGTCTATTTTGTTGTCACTCTTGTATTTTCTTCTACTGATTTGATGGTTAACAATAATGGTTGGCCGAAACCCATTGTCATGGTGTCAGGCGCACAAAAATAAGGCACTACAAACATCATATTTTGACATTTCACGAAATGTGTGACACCTTGCAACCCGCATCCGCAGTTTATGCACCGTTTAGAAGGGGTTAACATGATGATTAAATGGATCGGGTAACTTAGATATGGGAATTAAGGATTTAGTGATATACTCATTCTTAGTATTAATAATATAGATAAATCATACATCATTTAATTTCTATAAATAAACCGAAAAAAAAAACCCAAAAAATGACAACTGGCCTTATTGAATTTAATTTTTATTATTAAATTACTTTGATGCCTTATTGAGTGTTTTAGATTTTTTTATGAGGTTTTGGGGTTGAGTTTGTTTTAAGAAATCAATGGCAGTTTTGTAATTTGAAAGAAGTTAAAAATCTTTTTGTTATGTTGTAAATGAGTATTTAGTGTGTTTCTAAAATTCATTTATTATAAGGGGGTTTTTTTTTAAAAAAAAAAATTTAAAATTTTTATAATTAGGACTCCTATATTGGGTATAATAATGAATATTCCTTAAGGAATTGAAATCGGATCAATTACTCCCTCCTAGATGATCCAATTCCTGATTTTGAGAGAATTTTATTACGGATTTTAACGTGGAATTCATATAAATTTTGATTCCTTATATGTTAATAAACGCAAGGGAAGTCAAAGATTGGAATCATTTTGATACCTATATGTTAGTAAACACATGAAAAGTAAGAATTAGGATCATTTCAACACCCATTCTTAGTAAGTAAACATGCCAATTATAAGTGGAATTTTGGGCATGCATCTATACTATTTGGAAACAAAATCTATTTTTCTTTTCAAAATATGAGATTGTGGATGACAATATTTGTTTTTCTTCTTTTGACAATGTTATATTTTAAACTACTATAATCTACATAAAAGGGGAATTCAAACTCGATTGTAAGGGTGTCTTGCTAACTAATATAATCCACATTTGCGATAATATTTTCTTTTCAACTTCTTGTTTCTTTTGGTACAACATTGAATTTCAGTATAAAAACACATACAAACACAAAATACCACTCTCCCAGTAAGTTCTTCATTCTTTTTTTCTCTCAACAGTGTAAGGAAAAGTACATTATATGCTGCTTGCTCTCATTGGGGTACGTACGAGGGTTCTTTGTGTATGCCAGGAAGGTCTTTGCTTAGCTAGGCCTTGTTTGCAAGATTGCCATCTCCATATCGTAATATTTAACTTCACAGCGGGCATGAAATGCAAGAATCAAAAAGTTACTAGAGAGAAGATTGGAGCCAGAGAGAAATGGAAGGGACGTTTGGAGTGTCCCACTAACTTTCTCATCACCTTTCTCTTTTCCTTCCTCTCTCCTCTCCTCTCCACAGCTCCCCAAAGCCCACTTCTTTTTGTTCTTAAAATTATTATGAATTAGACCCATACGATATGACTGCTCCTGACGATATTGTGCATACCGACTTGGTCTCCCCAAGAACGCATGTCACAACAAATGCATATAAACGTGTGACTGTGATCTTAATCTTAGCTTATTATTAGTGGATTATTTCTACTTAGAGAGAAGATAATTAAGTCATGGGCAGGAGATTAAGGCTGAACTGAAATTAATTAAAGACAGAGAAAGAGAGAGATACATATAGATACAGGGCCAGGGGAGTATTGGACAATCCAAAATCACCAGAGAATATTAAAATGGTCGGATAGATTATGAAATACCATCGATCACCAAGATGGACGGTTGACATCTTGATCATTTACCATCAATCATAAGCACAGCAGAGTAGGCCACGAGGGCAGCAGATAGTTGGACCAAACACCATAGGCCGGCCATTAATCTTTCTACATTCATTCGAACATAGAACGGGAATAATGTTTTTTGCTATTTCAGACTAATAGCACAATAGCATGTGAACTAATGATTTCATGTGTGATTATGTTATTGGTCGAAAATAACAAAACAGTATCATTTCCGTTATAAAAAAAGTTTTTTTCCTAAATTGTCATAAATTACCATGCTCTCTCCATTGAGAGAACTAAAAGAAAAAATGTTTGTTTTGCTTGTGCATTTGTGAACTATTATTAATCAAGTTAATCATTTAGATTCACAGTTTTAACTATAAAACAGAACACATGAATTAAGGACCTTTTTTCTCTTTTTAATTATTCTCTTCTTCCAAGTTCCCACTGAGGACTGAAGAGAAAAAGGCAGTCTCAAACGCAGTCAGTCTGCAGCGCAGCACCAGTGGCAGTACAATAAACGAGGAGATAGATATGTAGATGAAAATAATAATATCACAAAGTATAATTAGTTTTGATTATTAATCTCATCGGGAAGGAAAGGTTCTCAGGTTTCTCCATTCTGAGCAGAGGTACACGTCAACTCCGCGTGCACCCTTCTGTTCATTTTTTAAGAACTATAACTCTCTCTTTTTTCAATACACTCTATGTAATTGTGAAATTATACTAGAGTCTAGAGAGAGAGAGAGAGAGAGAGTACTGTTTCTGTACAGAAAGGAGGAAAAGAAAAGTAGCCATTTCCGAGGGAGGTCTAAATCTATCAACCCTTTACAGATATACATATCAGTCATGTAAATTTCTGACAGACCTCCACTGTGTCTTTGTCCGTGTGTGTAATTTAGAGGGGAGGCTTGCTTCCTTCTTTCCTTGCTTTTCTGTACACATAAAGACTGTCACATGTGGAGTTTTAGCTTAAAAACCGGGTGGCAATTCCGCTGCTGAGAAAGAAAGAAAGAGAGAAGTTCCACTTCCAGGCCACTCTGAGAGAGAGAGAGAGAGAGATGGAGAGAGGAGGAACCAATTGTAATAATAATAGTGGTGTTACTTATAGTGGTCTGATGATGGGGTTTGGGAACAACACTAGTAGAACTGGGAGTAGTAAGGCACAGTTTCTTTCTCTACCTTTGATGTTGGGTTGCGGCCATCCAAACTTGCAAAGTGATCATCAGACGACTGATCAGGAGATGATGGTTAGTTGCAGCGATAGAATGAAAGCCAAGATTATGGCTCATCCTCTCTTCCCTCGTCTCTTGGCCTCCTATGTCAGTTGCCAAAAGGTGAACACTAGTTTAATTCATTTTCAGACCCCATGATCTTCAATCTCTCTCTCTCTCTCTCTCTCTGTGACCCAGAGACATACCCAGTTTACAAAAGGGTTTGAGAGAGTTATGTGGTCCATGAAAGGAATATATATTATTTTTCATTTTTCGTAGGTTTTGGTTTGTTTTCTGTCTGCATGTCCTTGTTGTCTGATGTTGTTTGGGAATTTTTAATTAATTAATTAGGTTGGGGCACCTCCTGAAGTGGTGGCTAGGTTAGAGCAGGCCTGCAGTGCTGCTGTTCACAATTCTGAGGCAGCATGTTTAGGAGGAGGAGATCCAGACCCAGCGCTGGACCAGTTCATGGAGGCCTACTGCGAAATGCTGACTAAGTACGAGGAAGAGCTCACAAAACCCTTCAAAGAAGCCATGCTTTTCCTCTCCAAAATCGACTCCCAGCTCCAAGCTCTCACAGTTCATTCTTCCTCAGATTCTGGTTGTCATCAACATCACCTTCTTATATCTATATATGTAATTCCTCTAATGTTTCTTTCCTGCATCTTCAGCTGCAACTTGAACTGTTTTACAATGGATCTGATCAAATAAATTCAAACGGTCCTGATCTGATTCTCTTCTCTTTCTTTCTAAGCTTATTTCAAAACTGTAGCAATTGAAATTCAAAACTTGAGTTTGGTGTTTGCTTGTAAAGTTTAGCAGGAAGACTGCTTGAGGTAATTATGGTAGATCAAGTCTTTTAGAAGATTTTACTGTGATTAGGGTTATTCATTTTCTTCTTAACTTGGGTATATATAGCCACTAATTAAACAATGGCATCCTCATTAGGCTTGATTTAGTACTTAATAATTACCATATACTGTACATATTTATATTTTCATCTATAGTAATTTTGTTCTGCACTGATTTTTTGTCATGCGTGATCTGTCAGCTAGTAGTGATGATAATATTGTTGGGAGAAGTGGGTCTCCAGAAGAGGTTGATGCCACCAAGAATGAGAGTTGCATAGACCCTCGAGCTGAAGATAGGGAAATCAAAGCTAAGCTTTTGCACAAATACACTGGATATCTGGGCAGCCTCAAGCAGGAGTTTATGAAGAAGAAAAAGAATGGAAAGTTGCCGAAGGAAGCCCGGCATCAGTTGCTTGACTGGTGGAGCAGACACTACAAGTGGCCCTATCCATCGGTACACCTTATACTCAGTCTATACTAATCTTTGTTTTCGTCCATTGTCTTGCCAAACTGTACTTCAAATCTGACAAAATAAGTATCTATATGATAACCTAAGTCTTACAAGAGAACGTTATGCGATATGTTGTACTCAATCTATATTTTCGTTACATAACATAAGTCTGACAAGAGAATGTTACACGATATATTATGAAGGGTCGATTGTAATTTGTATATGCAGGAAGCTCAGAAGCTAACACTGGCAGAGTCTACTGGTCTGGATCTGAAGCAGATAAATAACTGGTTCATCAATCAGAGGAAAACGCCATTGGAAGCCTTCAGAGGATATTCAATTTGCTGTGATGGATCCAACTCATCCTCATCATCATCCCCACTTCTACATGGACAACAATCTCACCTTCCCCATGAACAGCGCATCTACCCTCCTTTGATATTATCACTTGGCTTAAATGCATGTATATATATGTTAAGAATTTGGTGTACCCAAGTTAATTTACATCTCTTTAACTTCTTGACATTTTGAGACCACTCTTAATTTGATTAGGCGGGCAGAGACTTCTAATTTGGTCCTACCTACCCCTAGCTTCTCCAAAGTGCTTTTAGCAGAAGCATGTGGTTTTGGTATATTTTCAGCACCTTGATTTCTTTAGCATCATTTAGAATTTTAGCTTGGCCAAGCATGGTTTTGGTCCAGTGGTATGCCAGCATTTGCACAACGGGAACAAAGCACACACAAAAGACATTGAAACAAGCTGTCTTCTCTTTCTACGATATCACACGTGATATTTCACACCACCTTGTCCGCTATGTTTTTTTATTTATTTCCTTTTTAGTTCGGTTATTAACGTTAATTTGGGAAAATTTAAATATTAATTAAAATATCTTGTTTGTGTTGGGAGATAATAATTGATGATAATGTTGAAATTAAATTGTGACATTAATAAATAAATAAAATTTAGACATTTGAGACAACCAAACACGAGTGTTAAAAAGCTAACGAAAATGACAGACTAACGTGTTGGTTTGACTTTGTTACCACTTTGCTTACATGCTTTGTATTTCAGTTCTGTATCTAAATCGGATAAGATATGTAAATTATTGAAGCTAGTTCTTCAAATTAGGCCTTACTTATAACTTAGTCTTCCTATTAATTAAGGCAAAGTTGACCTATAAATTAATTTAGCGACCTATTTCTATTTATTTATGATAAGCGATAGAATATTATTGATGTGAAAAATCTAATACAAGAAGTTGGTTACATTATGATGATGATGATGATGGTTTAGAATGGCACGATACATACTAAATTCATCTATCATCAATAATGATAGGGGCACCAATTCTTATCGCAACCTTTATTTATGTAAACTCAAATTTCACTCTTAATACCATATTCGCCTATTAACACAAAATATTATTAATAATGGTAGGGGTCATACCTCTTATACAAATTTAAAATGTCAATTGAGTATAGCAATAAACCTACCATATTCCAAAAAGCTCGGCTCCTTACCTAAAAATTAAGAAGCTTATTCTCAAAGTAAATGGAAACTTGCCAAATTTTTTTTAAACAAAGAAAATTAAAAGACTTTTAGAAAAAGAAAAAGTTAAATGAAATTGAAATGTCAAAATCTCATTTACTTTGAGGAGAAACTCCTCCTCAGTTTTAAGGAGTCAAGTATTTTCCTTCCAAATAACATATCTCGAATTCAAAAATGAGTTTGTTTAAAGCTATGTAAATATGCAACTAACCCAAAAAAAAATGTGTTGTCATATTTACATGCATGTATGAAATGTGGTTATATTTTTATTTAACGAAATAATAGGTTGTTGTCAGTGGAACATATATAGTTTAGTTGATTGAGTTCTTTCACCTTTAACGTTTTATCGTATTGAAGGATAAAAGTTTGCATAAGAGTAAATAATAAAATAAATTGGCCGAAAAGATAATAAGAATAAGAGGAAAAACTATTAATATAAACATAGATAACAAAATAATAACTTTCCCTCGGAGCCGACAAGCGATAAGCGAGAAGCGAAGAAACCCTCGGAGTCGCTGGGCCCCTTGGGGTCGGTGGCTTCCCATCTCCCTCCCCTTCCTCCTTGCCCTGCTTTCCTTTTGCTCCTTTTATTTTTTCAAAAAATTTTCTTTTTTTTGCAGACTTGGTTGTGGCTGGCTATAATCCCATCTATTTTCACACCAAGACATGTGGCAGAGGGTGGATGAGAGTTAGAACGAGAAGCTTCAGATCTAGGAATTTATTCCCCGTCGGATTTTCGATGTTCTCCCGTGCCTTGGCATACCATGATGCTCTTCTCTCCTATTGGCAATTATGGTTGTCTCTGTTATGGATCTGGATAGCTATGGTTGTGCATCATTTTGTAGAGAAAAGTGTTGCTGCTCCTTTAGTCGGTGTTGTTTGGTTTCTTATATTTGGTGTAGTTTGTTATTAAAGTCCAGAAACTCTATGAGTTGTCTGGTATTCTCTTGTAATTCCCAAAAAATTGTTGAATTTGTTGAGTGGTCTAGTTTCTCTAAGAGAGTTATGCCGGTTAGCAGCTAGGTTTTATTCTTAATGTAACCGACTTGATATACTTAATGTAACTGACTTGATATAGGACAACTTAGACATTAGATAAGGGTTTTTAGATAAGTTCTTTGCGATTTTTTTCTCCAGATTGTTTCAGCCCTAGAGCTGACTCTAGTAACTGGGAAGCTTTACCCATGTCTGTCATATTACTAATCGAGATGACTCTCTGTATACATTTTTAATTGTTCTAATAAAATATTATGGCTTGTTTGGTCAAAAGTCATAGATTGGTAACCTTGTATCTATACAACTCATGATAACAGGTGTAAGTAAGAAGTAGCTTTCTACTTAACTCTTAGAGCACTTCCACCTGTTTGCCCTTTGTCATGGCAAGAGGGGGTTAAGGCAGTTACTATTCACATGAATAGTAGCTGCCATTGCAAAAGATTGTAGTGTTTTCACCCATTGCCATGATAACAACTATTCACATGAGATATGAGGAAATAAATTTGTATAGAGTTGGTGTGGGAAGTGAAAACTATGACTAAGTATTTATTTTTTTTTTAAATCTGAAATTTTTTATATTTTTTAAAGATTTTGTTAAAAAGAAATTTTGTTGCTGATGTCAGCAAACCCGGCCTTGATCTCGGGCTCATCTCGGCTGAGGGCTGGCCTGGTTTCATAGGCCCCACCTCCTACCCAGGCCAGCCCTTGTTGCTAAGGGTCAGACGGAATTGCTCTTAAGCATTGAACTTTGAATTCTAGTTTTGAATTTATTAAATTTTTATGCTTTAACTAGGAAGAGTACTATATATGTCACATTAAATAATGAAACTAGAGAGTTACCTAAATACAAAATAAGAAACCATTAAATATGTAATCAATTTCCAACTGAATGTTGAAAAAGCTCCAAATTCATATTCCACATATTTTCTTAATAAAGAAATGAATTTACAAAATAAATATAAAAGAAAAAAAAAGAATAAACTCAAAAGAGAAAAAGAAAAGAAAAACACATTTATTTTAGTATTATAATTGCGCATGAATGTATGCAAGAATGGATGATGATGTTGATGATGATGGAGATGATACATGATGATATGCCATACATTCTGTTCATCCTCGCAAGTCGCATCCGCCCAAGCAAAAGCTCTCTCTCTCTCTATCGCTCTCTCCGAGCACTCTTCTCTTCCACTCTTTCCCAGTTTGTTCAAACCTTCCACGTCTAGGGTTTCCTTTTACTTCATTAAACCCTTACCATCTAAAGCCCTCAATCTAATCGACAAAACCCTAAGTTAAACTCTTTACTTTATACAACAATCTCGCCTCATTTGGCTCACATTTTCCCTAAAATCAGCTTATTGGTCTCTGTCTCTGTCTGCCTTTCTGAAATCGCAAAACTTCGAGCTGCACAACATTCATGGCCAAGACCAAACCTGGAAAAAAGGACCTGGACTCTTACACCATCAAGGGCACCACCAAAGTCGTTCGAAGTACATCTTTATCTCTCTCTATCTAAAAAACCCAGAATTTAGTTTCCAGTTTCAGCTTCTGAAAACCCAAGATTGTCTGATATTTATTAAATCTAGCTCTGAGAAACCCAAAATTTCAATCTTTACATATATAGACAAGTTATTTGTAAAACCCAGATTCAAAATTTCAATTTTAAGCTCGGAAAACCCATAACTAATCTTATTTTTTTCAATTTTTTGGTGCTGAAGACTCCATTTTTTTTATAAACATTTTATACGGTTCATGTTTCTCTGCTATGCGTGGCATTGATTTTCGATTGAATTTGTGCTTGCCATAGCTGGTGATTGTGTGTTAATGCGACCATCGGACTCCGATAAGCCTCCATATGTGGCACGCGTGGAGAAGATCGAAGCGGACCACCGCAACAACGTGAAGGTTCGGGTTCGATGGTATTATCGACCTGAGGAGTCCATCGGAGGGCGAAGACAGTTCCATGGAGCCAAGGAGCTGTTTCTATCAGACCACTATGATGTGCAGAGTGCACACACTATAGAAGGGAAGTGTACGGTGCACTCCTTCAAGAACTACACTAAGCTTGAGAATGTGGGAGCCGAGGATTACTTCTGTAGGTTTGAGTACAAGGCTTCCACGGGAGGGTTCACACCAGACCGCGTGGCTGTGTAAGCAATGTGTTCTTTTGGCTTTGGTTGTCTATTTTCCTGCTCACAGAAAAACACACATGTATATTTGATTGGTGATGTTGGATTTTGAAATTATGTTACTTTGCTTTTTGTGATGAAGGTATTGTAAATGTGAGATGCCATACAATCCGGATGACCTTATGGTGCAGTGTGAGGGATGCAAGGACTGGTAAATGCACACCATTCGTTTCTTTTATGCTTGGTATTATTCATCCATTTCAAAGTTTGTATGCACTTTTTTCCATTAATCATCGAGTGCTTTGGCAATTATCGTTTTATAAGCTTTCATAATTAGCAGCGTGTAGAATAGAAAATGGAAATTGTGACTGCTCGTGCCATGATTCCATTTGTAGAAGGTGATGATCGTTAAATTCATTTGCTACTGAGGTTTTGCAGATTATGAGATAAGATGTTTGTCCAAATTTCAGATCCTCTTGATGGCAAACACATTGAGCTTCACATTTATCTTATTGGAGTTGGTGAAACATGTGGAATGTTTCACGACGAGATTTAATTAACAGCAAATATTCAGGTCTTATTGACCATATGTGGGTTTCAGAACCTATGCACTGGTTCATTCTCAGTAGCACTCAACACTTGGAAGTTAGTTATTTCTCTTTTTTCCTTTACGAACAATAGTGAGCTGTATTGTGAGTGGGGGCTCATCTGATTTCCTTTTCTACCTCCCTTTCCAATAATCTCTAATCATCAATTTGCAGAATTTAAGGCTATAAATGTTTGCTTATTCTTAACATAGTGTGCGTCTCTTGCACAGTCTTCTTTTGGTTTATTAAGTTTGATGATTGTTTGGCGGGTTCTTGAGAGCTTGATGTAAGGAAAGGTTTTAAATACTGATTGTAGTGGATATATTGAAAGTTTGAAATTAGGGAACTCTTTATGGAAATATTGATAAAAATATCAATATCAAGAGAAATTGGATTGGAAATTTGAATTGGTGCTTTATGATTTTCTTTTTCTACGTTAAGCTTTTCTTATGTTACTTTTGTCAAAGCCCATCATATTACTTAATTAATTTAGGATCAGATGGACCAAATTGTGAACAAAATAGTGATTGGTTGCTGTTAAAACTCTTGAAAATAGTGGAATAATTTCTTTTTGACAGTCCCATTAAGGTCCACAATCTATGTAATGGTGGGTATTTTTAAAAAATAAAATAAAATGTGGCCATGCCTTTGCCTTGGCAACATAATTATTTGTTGGTGATTTCATTTGAAACTAACAATTAAAGATTGTATAAATGGTAATAACAGACACGCTTCCTTTTTTGCGTTCATCTTTTGCAGGTTTCATCCCTCTTGTATGGGTATGACCATTGAAGATGCAAAAAAGTTGGAGCACTTCTTGTGTTCTGACTGCTCATCTGATGATGATGCCAAAAGATCCTTGAATACATTCCCAGTATCACCATCTGTTGAGGCTAAGGTGAGAATTCTGTGTGTTTTGTTCTTATGATTCCAAGACATTCTTGATATAGAATAACCCTTGCCCCACCTCTTAAGCTTGAAGGTTGCATCACTGGCCATAATCAATTGAAAAAAAATTTAGGAAAAAAAGGAGAAGATGAATTATAGAGAATTTTAATGACTTAAATTCGTAGTCAGTGTTTATTCCTCAATTGATGGCGATTTAAAATTGGAAAAATGAGGCTTCTACCTTTTTTGTAAACTAGGAAAGGAGTTACCGTCAATCTTCTAACCAAGCTCATTTGGAAATTAGTTTACAGAACCTTGAGTTCTACATGTGTGGATGTTGGAGATGTTGGCTTTACCTAAAATACTTGGACTTCCTTGCTCGACATTGTTGGATGACTTTATGACTAATCTATGGAATAAATAGTGGATAAAGAAAAATTGAAGTTTTGAGAGAAAGAGAGGTCCTATTTATAGTCATGATGATATCGCGCTGGTTATTGGAATGAATTTTAGGTAATGCTGTTAAAACTGCATAATATTGTTCTGTGAAATCTTAACCAGAGCATTACGTTTTGACTGTTTCTGATGTAATTTTCTATAGGTTTCCTTGCTTCAATGAAGGACCATGGCTGATTAACCATGACGGTGTTATGTTTTAAATTGTATTCTAGGTGGAGCCAAAGCGCAGGAAGAGATGACCTATTGATTGGGATGCTTAGCGAGGAGGTATCCAACTTCTTTGGCATTAGCTCCAGTGTTGTGTGTTGTGGAAATGTACAGTGCAGAGAAGATACTGTGCTTGCACAATCCAAAGGCTTTTTTAAGTTTTATCAATGTTTGTATGTGTGCTAGACCTAGGCAATGACTTTGAGATCTGTGTTGTCCTTGCAAGACATTAAAATCATATTTAAGCACAGAAAACATGAGAACACACCAAACCAAAGATGTAGGAGGAACCTTGGATTTGTTGTGATGTGTTTATTGCTGGCATTACTTAGTATGCATGCAATGGCAACTGATTTAGTTTTTTTTAGCCCTTTTTCCCCCTTGTTTCATTGTCTTTCTGTTTTTGGGGATGAGAAAAAGTAGGGGAAGCAGGTTTTCTTTGGCAGCTCTTGATAGAGCTGCATCTGTGGATCAAGATCCAGAGATGCAGCTTTGGAATAGAGTTCTGTGTGTGCAACCCGAGGCATGGCGGGTGCAGTTTCAGGAGTAACTAGAACACCCATTTGGCTTAGCCGATGGGTTTGCTCCCGCCTTTGTCTTTGTAAACACATCATTTGCCACTGGTTGATCTTACGGGCTGGTGGAACTGTGTTCTATTCTATCAGCCTGCTGAGGTCCAGCCAATTTTCATGCCATTTTCCCCCAAGATCTACTACCAACAGAGACCTGTGAATGTGCAACTGTACCACCTGTCGGAAGATCATCTTGAATTGTCATTATCATAACAGCAGGTTTTGTCGACCGTATGATGGTTAACCGATGTATGTTATTTGTGCATGTCTCAGATTTTGAAGAATCATGTCCCGGATTCTTGTTGAGTTACATCTTGCTCTTAGTACAAAGCTCTATTGTCATTTTAATTAAGCCATGCTACCATGGTACATGTTTACATCATTTGTGTATTGCTGACTCTCTCTACACCTCTCTATCTCTCTCTCTCTCTCTGGTTATGTGGTTTGATTTGCTGATATTGGACCTCAAGTATTGACTGTTCTCAGAAAACAGATGAGATGTCTAAGAGGGCATCTTGATCTGATGCTATGGATGGCTCTACCATATTCCAAGTTGATGATTGGATCTCCTATCTTGGTGGCCAGCCAGACTATTTAATCTACATTTCTATTTATTCTAAAATTTTGTTCATTGTACATCTCTTCATAATAGGGTGTGTTTGGTTTTAAATGTTTCAGAGTGGTCCCGGGTGCCAACTTTGTAGTGACCCTTTTGACTGTATTAATTTGTTAGACCTAACATGTTCTTTTGCACTTCCAATGGATCTCCACATATTTATTTGAAAAAGAAAATAGGCTTTGACTTGCAAACAAGATGTCTCATGTTCGAATTTCCATGGCATTTTAGTTTTTTGTGTGTGAGAAATCTCTATTTTCTGTAGTTTAGACTATCGTTTGTATTAAAAAAATAATAATAATGGTGTGGCATGTGAAAAAGAAAATAAATTGATAACATTAAAAAATTTAAAATCTTATTCCTAACCTTCCTTATAGCCTAAGGCCTAAATTGCATCCTTACAAAGGAAAAAGGGATGGAAGTAAATTCCATTTTATTCAACATAAAGTTGATAAGTGTGTGTAAAATCTGTGGCAGAGGTTCTCTAACTCCATGCCATATAAAATCTGTGGCAGAGGTTCCCTAACTTGTGCACGTTTGCAGCTTCTATCATTAACAAAGCAATTTACCTTTTACAGTTATACTCGTGACAATTTCAGCCATTGGGTGGATTAAACCAATCCTATTTCATTCTATACACGATTTGTGCATATCTATATATGAGTCTTTACCTTCTTTTATCAATGTATCTGTGCATCTCATTCCCTCCCCCAACAAGCCCTTCTCTACCTCAAATTAAGCCTAAAATGAATGGGGTGGCTACCCATTTTCTTTAAAGAAGGATCATCTATATATAATAAATATATATATAATTTATATGTGAATTAATAAAAGTTATAATGAATTTTTAAAACAAAAAAAAAAAAAAAAAAAAAAAAAAAAAAAAAAAAAAGAAGAAAAAAAAATAATAATAAAACATTTTTTTTATAGAAGCAACATTGTAAACTACTCTAAATTAATTTGATCTACGAGGAGGGACAATTGAACTCGGGTGCAATCGAGAGGGAGACTCGAACTTAGGTGCAAGTAGGGTGGACTCACTGTCCTAACCAACTGGCCTAACTCACATATGCATAATATAAAAAATTTTATATCTAAATCCTTAATTTTATTTTTCATCCAAATAGACTGTATGTCTTTAACATTATTGTCAATGTTTTTTCATTTTTATTAACAAGAAGATTTTTTTAAAAAAATCCAAATTTTATTTTGTAGAGATAAATAAAGATGAACAAAGACCATACTGTTTAAAGGGTGTTTGTGTAAATGGCAACACAATGAGCCACCCATTCCCATTTCCCTTGTTTCCCTTCCATTTTCGTTTTCTCCATCGAATCGAAACAACGATAAAAGCAAAGTTACAGTCTTCTACAAAGAGCTTTTAGATTGCAGAGACATGTAGAGGGTATACTCCTGTATTTATAACAGACATTTCGCTTTTTTGTTTAATTAATTCAAATTTTGATTCTTTTTTGCTTTAGGCTTTTGCCTCTCTCTCTTCAAATTAAGTGCGCAATTAGATTTAATTAGGGTTTATCAGTTGAAGACCCGAGTTCCAGACTTCCAGCTCAGGCTTTTTTTAGGTCTTACTTCTCATTTTCTCTCGTTTTCTTTCTCGCACTTTCTCGGATCCCTTTGCTCATGTAGTCAATGTAAGTCAATTTCTCTTGTGTATATCTTCAATTTCTTCGGAACCCACTATTTGTTATTCAATTTAAATTCTTTGTAAAAAGTTATGAGAATTTTGTGCTCAGAAGAATCATCTAGGGCATGTTCATCTGATAGGGTTTTCATTTCTGTTGATAAATTGTCACCTCGTATGGCTTGTATTATTTGATTTTGAGAATGCCAATGATTTGAATTAGTTTCCGAGCTAGAAAGAGTTTGGGGTCAAGGTTTTTGTAGATATGATCAAACAGATATTGGGTAAAATACCTCGGAAACCCTCAAAATCATCGCAAAACGATGCGTATAATGACGGAGGGGCCAATGGGAATGGGCCCAATTCATTTCACAGCTCAAAATCTACTTCGTCTTCATCAAAATCTTCCAACTTGGGTTCAGGCGCTTCACGCTCGAGCAATGGAACTCTTGCCCCACACTCATCGAGCTCGACTAAATCCAACCACTCGAAGAAATCAGCTCCCATTGCTGCCCAATTGGGTCCTTTGTTGTCTTCTGGAGCCTACGAGGCTTTGCCGAGCTTCAGGGATGTTCCCAGTTCAGAAAGGCAGAATCATTTTGTTAAGAAATTGAATATGTGCTGTGTTGTGTTTGATTTTAATGATCCCTCGAAGAATCTGAAGGAGAAGGACATCAAGCGGCAAACTTTGCTTGAACTTGTTGATTACATTTCATCCGTAACTTCAAAGTTCAATGAGATGGCAATGCAGGAGATTACAAAGATGGTGGCAGCCAATTTGTTTCGTACATTTTCATCTTCTAATCCTGATAACAAGCTTCCTGAAATGTACGACCAAGACGAAGAGGACCAAATGATGGAACCAGCTTGGCCTCATCTTCAGATTGTGTATGAATTTCTATTGAGATTTGTGGCTTCGCCAGAGACGGATGCCAAGCTTGCTAAAAGATACATTGACCATTCGTTTGTGTTGAGACTACTTGATTTGTTTGACTCTGAGGACCAAAGAGAGAGAGAATACTTAAAGACAATCCTCCACCGTATTTATGGGAAGTTCATGGTGCATCGACCATTCATTAGGAAAGCCATCAACCATATCTTCTTTTGGTTCATTTTTGAGACTGAGAAGCACAATGGGATTGCAGAATTGCTTGAAATTTTAGGCAGCATAATCAATGGTTTCGCGTTGCCTTTGAAGGAAGAGCACAAGCTGTTCCTTGTCCGTGCCTTGATTCCCCTTCATAAGCCCAAGTGTGTATCTATGTACCATCAGCAACTTTCATATTGCATCAGTCAGTTTGTGGAGAAAGATGCCAAGCTGGCTGATACTGTGATTCGAGGACTGCTGAAGTATTGGCCCATAACTAATAGTTCGAAGGAAGTTATGTTCCTTGGTGAACTAGAAGAAGTTCTGGAAGCTACCCAGGCATCAGAATTTCAGCGCTGTATGGTCCCTCTATTCCGTCAAATTGGTCACTGCCTCAACAGCTCACATTTTCAGGTACTATTCAAACGATATATTTATCTTTTACTGGCTTTCTTGTTTCTACCATGTGTTATCTGTGGATGCACATGGACACGATGTTTCAATAATTTATTAATATTTCTGATATTTATCAATTTTCATTATCTTTCTTCCAATGAATCGTTTTCCATAATGATGAGTTTTCTAGATTCTCTGCTTTTTCAACTTGAGACCCAGTTGGTTTTGTGAGATGTATTGGATATGTTAAAGCTTGAGGCTTTTGATGTTTTGTTGGGATTTTTGTCTCTAACAAATCTGTAAATATTCCACTTTTTTTCATGTGAAATTAACCTTTTGTCTCCTTATTCACAAGATGCTTCTTTGCATATTTATCTGTGCTGCTTGGTTGAGTGAAAATATTCCCTTGTTCAGAACTGTCGGGATACTTCAAGATTGTGGTTCATTGGAATCCGGGTTGATGTGTTGATGTAATAGTTGTCGAAGTTGCATTTGCACCTAAGGCCAGTTTATATGAAGATAGTCTTATAGGTGTCATTAGTTGGTGAGTTTTGCTAGTATACAATTTGGGAGGCAGATGGTGATAAGCATTTCTGCTTTTCAGATGCAAGCATGATATGCAGATTCAATGTTCCTCATGTGGGAATTTCTGACTTAAGCACCCTTTCTTACTCAGATGCAATGCTCTTGAGCGTTTCGTAACTGAGAAGATGGTTTTATGGTGCAAGATCGTGTGTATGTATGGTTTTATAATTTTTGTTTTTTGGTCAAAGTATGGTTTTATAACTATGATCTGAGTTTTGGATTATTATTTTAGTGTTACTTAATGAGATGTCTTAACTTCTTTTCTACTGGCAGGTAGCTGAGCGTGCCTTGTTTTTGTGGAACAACGATCACATAAGAACTTTGATTACACAGAATCGTCAAGTGATTCTGCCAATAATCTTCCCAGCTTTGGAAAAAAACACACGGAGTCATTGGAACCAAGCTGTTCAGAGTTTGACATTGAATGTGAAAAAGATATTCGCAGATATCGACCAAGAACTCTTTGATGAGTGCTTGCTCAGTTTCCAAGAAGATGAATCTAAAGAGAAAGAAACACAGGACAAACGTGAATCAACCTGGAAGCGTTTAGAAGATGTGGCTACCTCCAAGGCTTTGGGCAACGAGGCTGTGCTTGTCTCAAGATTTGCCTCCTCCGTTGCCATTGCTACTAACCCAAAACCACGGGCTACTTCAGGTAGTTGAGATGAGACCCCGTGCAATTTGCAGATACAGTTTACCCTAATCAGCCGTAATTGAACAAAAGTGGGTGGGACCCAGCCTCATTTCTCTCCGGCTTCTTGTAACTCTGTATGCTGATAAACGCGGAGGTGGGGGGTGGTTGTGGACTTTGCAATTTCTCCCGGGTCACTCTTCCTTTTGTACTGAGATGTGTGTAATATAAAGGATTCGTTATTATAGGATGAGTGGTTATTATTACTCCTGATAATATTTGTTGTATAATGGTGCGAAAAGTTAAATACATTTTTCTGAATCTGTTTCAACCCAAGCAATGTATTATCTCTCTGGGATATTTGTTGTAATCCTTAGGCTTGATCAACTGTCCAGGCTAATGGACTGTACCTGGAGCCGCAACCTTGATACTTCTTTTGGATCTTCATAATGTATGCCAGAAATGGTGGATTTTGTTGTTTAATAAAAAACTATTCCAAATCGGATCTTTGTTGCTGTGATTTATGCTTTCTAGTCGCAAGTCTTTACTCCTTTATTACCCTTCTCTTCAAGGGGTATGGAGGAGATTTGCGACCTGACCTTGTCCTTGGCTAGTCTCCATATGCCTCTTGAACAAGACACAAATGGCTTAGGTGCCTAAAGACAGCAGTAAAGTTCTACGGCAAGGGTCTTTTTATAGAATACTTCGGTCAACACCGTTCATGGATTTCCAGCACATGATTAATTGCTTTGAGCATCAGGAATTTCCAGAAGATGGGTCTTGCCAAAATCTTGTTTAAGCTTGTTATGAACTTGATGCAGAAGCACATTCATTTTGCAGTATATACGAATTAGAACTCAAATACGATACAGGTAAATACTTGAAAGTTCGACATGCAGGCTAGGATTTGACAAACTAGTGTTCACCCTAGCATTTGACATGGTAAAGCTCATAACAGGCAAACAAGCTAAAAGGGCATACATGTCACTGTCGAAGTACATACTCAAAGTCTATTAATCATCTCCATAGGCTCGGAATCTGTAACGCTCTTGGTATGGACCATTAAAGAAGAGGTCAGCCTCCAACCACTTAGGGTAACGAACAAGATCTCCGGCAACAAATCGCATATATTGCTTGCTTCCTTCAGGCACAACTCTCACCTCTCCTTCCTCAATGTAAACCAGTTGGTCCACCTGCCAGTCCCATGGTAGCTTGCACTTTCCAGTCTTCCACATTGACCATCTTGAAACTCCAAGCTCTGCTAGTCTCTCCGGTGACACCTTTCGTTCCACTCTCACTTGGTACAATTCCTCCAGAGGTTTCTCTATCCGCATTGCCTTTAATTTCATACCACGACGTTGCCTGTTAGTACTACTCCACTTATTGCAATCTCCGCCGGTTCTGTTGACTGAGATTGAGCTGAAGGTTGAGGCCATGATCACACTTGCCATGTTTATAACAATGTGTTATTCTGCCTTGATTGCCTGCTAGGAATTGAAAACAATGAGGCGTTGCATAATTCATCACCACAAAAGAAAAACCAACATCATGATCTCTGAATTTAAGATATTCACTCTGGGTAGCCAAATCCCAAAGGCAAAGTCAGTACAAATAAACAAAAAATGCTATTTTTCCACATCATATTTATAGAAAATGGTCCTGTTGCAGCTTACTAAGTGCAAAAGTTCTAAGAGCTCCTTCCACATCTAGACAGTTCATTACAACATTTACATTTTTCAATCACCAAATTTTGAAAACATTAGGAGAACAGATATTTGGACTAATCCCCTGATACCCTAATCCTACATTTCAGACAAATATAACTTAGATTCTAAGAATGATTTTTCCTCCACAACTATGAGACACCCAGGAAACGAAAAACCTCCAGCCAAGAGAACAAGCAAGATTATCTGGGTTTTATTGGGTCAAAGGTTTTCCATTTCGTGGAACCCAAAACAGAGCATATATAGATATTTCAATTCAAGATTTTCAATTCCTTACCACCACAAATGAACAGGAAAAGATAATCCCAGAAACCAAGGATAACCTAAGAAACAAAATTTCTCATGTAAAGCAGAAGAAGAGATTTGTGGGTGTTTACCTGTTAAATGGAACCTTCAAGTGGAGGAGAAGAGTGAGACTGAGCAGCGGCAGCTCTGAAACTAAAACCCCATTGTCCAAGGTTTATCCAATACCAATTATTTACATTACAAGGGCTTTTTGATTAACTCACGCACCCGTGACCTATTTTCCTCAGCCGCAGTTAACTTTTTACCGGGAACTGGATATTCAGTTACCTTTCTATTTTATTTTATTTTATTTTTCTGAAAATGGAAAATAAGTGAGTTTTGGTCGTTATTTGTTAACGTGTCCAGTCCTGGGGGACGGATAGATTTGGGGCTGAGAAACAATGTGAGAATGTTAAGACGTATGTATGAAGAAGTGAGAATCACTTTGTATCCATAATTTTACAAGTGATGGCGTTGCTTCACGTTCAACTCATTAATGGGTTGTTTCAGGGCCCAAAGCAGAGCCCACTGTCTCAGAGAAGAGCAAGAGCTGGCAGATGCCTCTGCTTGCAAACACAGGCCCCTCCCTCAAGAACCCAGGTACCCTTTTCTTTAATTTCCCACATTTCATTTATTTGTTGTTCATCTATTCTTCATCTTCTTCTTGTTTTTGAAGGGTTGAATTGCATCATTGTATATGTCAACTGAGTTAATGAGTGTTTTAAGTTAATAATTTTTTGCAGAGGATAATGGAGAGTTTATCAGTGAGTGGGGAAGTTGGTGGTGCTGGTGGGGCATACTCATATAGTGCCTTGAAGAGGTTAGACCAACTTTGGTCTAGTATTTGTTCTGCTCAAACAGGTGCTGTGCACACTATTTCATTGATTATCTGTAATGGGATTGTGATTAATGTATGAAAAGTTCTTGAAAAGTTTGGTTATTTTGACATGTCTCTTTGTAGTTGTGGAGGAACCAAAGAAAGTGGTTTCGAGTGTTCCTGGTTTTTTTAGCAATTCTGATCTGGCTGACAAAGCAGTAGATATATTTGATGTGTTAATTTGTGGTGGAACTCTGGGAATCTTCATAGCTACAGCCTTGTGTGCAAAAGGTCTTCGGGTAGGCATTGTTGAGAGAAATGTACTCAAGGGGGTAAGAAACTGTTCTGTGAAGTTTCTTTAAGAGTAAGAATTGTTTAATTATAGAATTTTTCTAGTAAGTGTGCCTATGATAGTTTGATCATCAATGATCAGAGGGAACAAGAATGGAATATCTCAAGGAAAGAGCTCTTGGAACTTGTAGAAATCGGAGTTCTGGTAGAAGATGACATTGAACTAGTCACTGCAGCTAAATTCAATCCTGTAAGTTCTTTGACTACAGTACATTTGTAATAGTTTTAAAGATCAAATAAGTTCATTTTAATAGTTAGGTGTACTTATCTTTTTCACTTAAGGGGGCCTCTTCCCTACCTATCATAAAAAGTGCTTATTTTGTAATTAGTATGCTAGAAGTTATTTAACCCAACTACTTTTCATAAATGCATAATAAACCACATATTCACAGCTCTATTTGCATGTAATACCAAACATAGTATTTTGCTGCAAAGGAATTTTCATGCTCAGAAGTTTCTTTTTTAGTTGCATAGTCATGCAAAATACTAGCAAGCTACCTACTTCAACCATTTCGTTTGACATGTCATGAACTGCACAGAACAGATGCGGCTTTGAGGGCAAGGGTGATATCTGGGTTGAAGACATTCTTAATCTTGGTGTTTCGTGAGTTATCTTTTCTTCTTATTGGTTGCATTTATTTTGTTATCAGAAAACAAATCTTCTGGTTTATCTTTTCCTCTCCCCAACTAGTAGAGGGACTGATAGCCTGATAGGATCATGATTCATGAGTAATGACAGGAAATGAATGATGGTTTGCAACTGTAATTGTTTGGCTATTGTAATTTCATTGCAACTCTAATTGTTTACCCTGAATCACACTTTTGTATAACCACAGACCAGCAAAGCTTATAGAGGTTGTGAAGAATCGTTTCATTGCTCTGGGTGGAGTCATATTTGAAGGCAACAGTGTGTCCAGCATTTCCATTTATGAAGATGCGGCTGTGAGTTTCTAATAATTTCTAAGCAGTTCATTCTTGTGCCTTTTTACGAGTTGTACAACTAAGGGTTCCTCTTATATTATGTTTGTATGCTTGAAAAAGATGTCTTTTAAAATAAAGTCCAATTATGGTTCTTAAAAGACTATCTGACTTATGATAGTTAACATGTTAGAAAATATAAGAATTGTCACAGATTTTGTACTATTGTTTGAGAGGTGAATGTATTTTGACAATAGTATAGCCACAGAAAACAATTTTATATCATTTGACTAACATGAATTCCTCTTACTTTTCGTTAGGTCTTACAACTCAATGAGGGAAACATTTTGTCATCTCGCCTCGTCATTGATGCAATGGGGAATTTCTCTCCCATTGTAAAACAGGTGGTTTTTTTTTATTTTCTGCATAATTGGTTGCTGTACAAGTACACATTTTGGCTTACAGTATTGTGTGTGTTTGTATGTGTTGCTTGCATTTTTTAAATGAGCAACTAATCCTTAGGATTTGAAGATGTTAAGAGTAACCTCACAAATTCAATCTTGTGTCTATTGATCATTGTTGAACTTAGGTAGCAAATTAATGCATAACCCCATCTGGCCTGAAATTCACACTCAGTATTGGTTCAATCGACAGATAAGATCCGGAAGGAAACCAGATGGTGTTTGCCTTGTTGTTGGATCCTGTGCTCGTGGATTTAAGGATAACTCTACAAGTGATGTTATATATAGTAGTTCATTGGTAAAGAAGGTTGGGGCCTCAGAAGCTCAATTGTTTTGGGAGGTAACTTGGATTTTGTAGTTTGCTGGTAACGTCGAAATGATATTTTTTTTTCTTCCCTTTTTTAATTTTACAGAATCAACCTTTTTCTGAACATTTCGCAGGCATTTCCAGCTGGTTCAGGTCCTGCAGATCGTACAACTTATATGTTCACTTATCTTGCTCCTCAACCCCAATCGCCGAAATTGGAAGAATTGTTAGAAGAGTACTGGAAACTGATGCCAGAATATCAGGTTAGTAAAAGTTCCAGTTGATAAATGTTCGGATGTTACTTGGATTTTGCCTTAGAGCTCAACTCTTAACCATTCACAAATGCCCAATATGCAGGGGGTCTCTCTTGATGACTTGGAGATACAGAGGGTTCTATATGGCATTTTCCCTACATATTGTGACAGGTAATGATGCAAGTATTGCTTGAACTGCAATGAGAGTCTATTTATGTTGCTAGAAGTATTTTAAGGTTATCAAATGTGAGCCATTGAGGAGAAGGTATGCTAATTGAAATTTGACTTGATAAGAAGCTGGTAAATCTGTAATTTAACTTGCAACACAATCCAAAATCTGATCACAGAAAAGACTGTCATCACTATTCCATGAATGCAAAATATTCTCATACCTTTTGCAAGTTAAATACAGTGTATAGTTATTTTCTTTCTATCTGACACCCTTCAATTCTTAACTGGGGATGGTGAACTTGACAGCCCGCTGCCGGCAGCTTTTAATCGTGTTTTACAGGTGTTATAAATTATACACTTACAAAGCCACCTCTAAATTATGGTAGAATACCAAAATGATGGTGTGATAAAATCCTTCTCTGCAGTTTGGTGATGCTAGTGGAATACAATCACCTGTTTCATTTGGTGGTTTCGGAAGCTTGACTAGGCACCTCAAGAGACTGTCAACTGGTATGTAATTAATGACTCCAAAGCACAGATGGAACTCTTATCTTAACATTGAGGAAGAAAAATCAGATGAACTCTCTTTAGTTTGTGTCCAAACATTGATAACCTGTGCAAATGTTAGTACGAGGATGAAACTTAGCAGGATCTATCTTTTTGCATGGGTGAAAAGGAATATATGAAGCAATGAGAGACAATCTTCTTGATTCGTACAGCTTGTCCCTGCTGAATCCTTACATGGTTGGTGACTTTCTGATCCCTGGCCAAAGGATAACCCTGGCTTTTTGTCTCTTTTTTTCTTCATGAATATCTGAATTTGAATTGAGATTTGAAATCCATGTAGCGCAGCCCAACTTAAGCGCTTCATGGTTGTTTCAAAGAGCAATGTCAGCAAAGCAACAGTCTAATGTGTCACCAGATTTTATTAATGAGCTTCTTTATGCGAATTTCCAAAGTATGCAGGTAGGACTATGTATTTGTCTTTCTGTTTTTGTTGATTTTGCTTCCCATGCATTACCATCTTTACATGTTTCCTAATAAATTAATATGTTTTCTTCAGAGGCTCGGCGATCCAGTGCTAAGACCATTTCTTCAGGTAATTTTCTTGTTTTATTATTTGTTCATTTGATTTTATGTGAGTTGATCAATTGGCTGAACTATATGTCTGTAATGGCAGGCTTGGTTTCAAATTTTTAACTATAGAAGCATGTATTGTGACAGGATGTTGTGCAGTTTGGACCTCTTGCCAAGACATTAGGCCTTGTCATGTTAACTAAACCTCAAATTATTCCATCAATATTCAAGCAGGTAATCACTGAGTTAATTATTCCTGTTCTGACTAAAAAATAAGAGAGTTAAGAATCTTGTTTTTCATTTTTCTGTAATTTATCCATTGAGTCTAATTTTCAGACCAACAAAGTGTTTAATTTTTTGTTGTGTTTCAGGTAGGAATTCCTGTGCTTCTTGACTGGTCTGGACATTTTTTCATGCTGGGATACTATACGTTTCTCTCATCTTTTGCTGACCCTGTAGTAAGGTAAATAATTTTCGACGATCATGGTCAATATGTTAACATAATGTAATATATATCTCACTGTCACTGTTTGCATATTTCTCAAGGCCTTTCTTAAGCACACTTCCATCCAAGGAGAAGTATGAGTGGAAGCGACGTCTTGAGGCTTGGAAATACGGCGCTGGCTTAGATTATAAGTCATGAGGTACTGGAAACAGGGAGCAGCTGCGTTTGGATAGGTACCTGGCTTCCCTCATAAAAGTTCAATTTGGGACGGTTCACCGGCCAGAAAGGACCAAGGGTTTTTGAACGGAGAAGATAATAGAAAAAGGAATGTTAAAAAATAAAAATAAAAAAGGGGAAAAAGAAACATCAGGGGACTGAGACAATGTAATTGGAACCATGCTTATATTCACATCAAATTACAGTTTCTTTGAATAAACATTCATCTTCTTGTGTATTGGAGAGAGGTTTTTATTAAAATCCAAGAAAAAAAAACAGGGCTTCCCAAAACAAGTATACACAGGCAACTAGTATCACTTATACAACATCATGCCCTCAAGGGAAGGCATCTTTATTCATACAGCACTATTCCTATCATTTTTACTTTCTCCGCCAGCCCAGCCACCCTCCAAACATCGTGGCCACGGCCATTCACAATGTCAGTTAGAACTATTTACAAAGATTATAACCCAGAAAATAAGTAATGATAATGTCAATTGGATGTCTTTGCACCCAACATTTTAGAAAGCGCCTTAATAATAGGCTTCTCTTGTATATTTTCTTCCCTTTCCAAGCGCCATTTCCTCGACGTTTTTTCGACCTGGATTTAGCAGCAGTAAGTTAGTTCATGTGCAAATGAAAATTCATGCAGGAAAGAGAAGGCAATCTCATTCAATAGTTAAGACATACCCCCGCTCTCAAGGGAGCCAGTTGCTCCTGAATCATATATAACTTTGGCTCGACAAGGTCTCTCCCTTTTGTTCGGATATCTTCACTCTGTTAATACAAATTGCAAGTTAAGGTTAAATTGTCACCACATAGTAAGACTGTCTTTGTAACTTTCATCAACATATCACAGAAAAAGGATACTACACAGTAATTGGAAAATTAGGGTGAACAAGACTTAAAATATCTGTACTTACATTCTGTAACTGTAATTTTGAGACAGCCATTCCAAATAGCAAGGTCGCACCACCAAATACCACTGCTGTTGCAACAGCGAATGCCTTTCCAACTACAGAGAAGCAGAAGACACTGCACATCAGGACATTGTTCACAGAAAACAAGCAAATCTCCTGATTTTTACAGAATTAGGAAAATATGGGTTTAGAATTGTCTTTCAGGGTACCGAGACAAGAACTGAAACGCAGGAATGCAAGCACAATGTCAAAAATTGATAACAACAAGAGGTTCCCCAGATATTATCCAAAGAAGAACAAATTGAGGGCGCGTTGTAGATGCGTAAAAGGTTGTTAATTAGTAAGACCAATTATATGTGAAATGAGGTTGAGTAGTATAATGATGCATCAGAAATAAGATATTTTCTTCAGCAAGAGACCTTCTTTCCTTTCTTCAGATATTTTCTTCGACTGATCGTTATTCATTACGCCTTAACTCAATCAACCCTTTTTTATTAGTGATCATGTTAACATAGACATCTAGTTCAGGCATTATGATATGAATAAAAGAGAATATTGGACCTACTTTGTGTAAGCCCTTCAGTTGCAGCCTTCAACTTTTCCGGATTAATGGGGGTGGTGTGCCTGTCTCGGCGCAGTTCATTAGCCGTTGAGGCTGACACCGAGCTTTCTGATTCGGGCAGTTGCCACCTGCATTCAACAATGTGATACATTATAAAAGATAGAGCAATGCACCAAAGCAAATTCATCTTAATTTCAACTCCCTATATATATACTGATTAGCTCCTTCATATGCACTCCTCCCAGACAGTACTTGGTATTCAATTTCTACATGAATATTCATCATAAAGCTTCAAAATTTTGCAAATTCACAAAACATTGAACAATTTTGAGCATTACCCAGAAAGCCAATTCCACCAAACGAGTCCTAGAATCATCAATTTCTCAGTCCACATTTTCTAGCAACCAACCAAACTCAAAATTGAACAATTAAGAAGACAAAAGGAGAAGATAACGAAAAATAACTGACCTTCTGGGGCCAAAAGTGACCTGCGGCAGTGAAAGATAAGCCCTTAGAGGGTTAAGAGCCTCAGCAGAGACAAAATAGCCACCCTTGGGATCAGATTGAAGAACCCATTTGGAGCCTGTGTCTAGGGACGACATCATTTCAGAGGGTTGGTGGAAAATCTTGGAGGGCAAAGAGTTCCTCAGCACCTCGGGAAGCACGTCAGCTTGGGCTTCCCGCTCAGTAGCCGAGTAAGCTTCAGAAGGCGGCGATGGGAGCTTCTTCTGGGTTGGGGTTTTCTGGGATGCAAGACGGCCCACCGCCTGTTTGGATTCCTGGAAAAAATATGCTGCCTCTTTCCCGGCTAGTCTTCCCGCGAGAAAGCTCATTTCTTCCTTTTCCCTGTATAAGATAAAGCTAATTGAAAAAGTGTGAGCTTGTTGCTATGTGGCTGAACAGTGACTAGATTTCTCAGCTTAGTATCTATCTATGCCAGCTTAGTACAATTCTGTATATATATTTTGGTCTGTGCCTTGTCAATCAAGTATGAAGTCATTTTTTAAAATTTATATTTTGTTTGCATGAGGATCAAAGTTAAGTCTACAAGTCATGAATCTCCATTGTTATTAGACATTTTAATCCAAAAGAACAGAGTTGAATTTGAGTTTGAGAATAAATGTTTTGGCAGTATGAGATACGTTTGACCAAAAAGGAAAGTTATGAACTTTGTGTAGCATATATATTTGCATTTCAGTAGCTCCCCTATAAATTTTTTGAGGGATAGAAATTCTATAGCACATAGAACAAAAAATATATAACATTCCCTTCTACCGTTGAGGTTCTCTGAATAAAAAAATCATGTATAGTATTATATGGTATTGGAGTCAAATTAATTTAAGGACATAAATGAAGTGGGAAAAGAAGAAATTGAACCAATCATCTTGATTTAAATATGTGAGAAAAGCTAAAGAATGAAAGAGAACAAAATTTAAGGAGAGTGATAAAACTTTTTGTCATCACTAATGTAGAGTTTTGTGGCCTTGGTCAAGTGTAGCGGCTACTTTTGAAATAAACTAGAATTTCTATCCTCCCTTTGACCAGATTAGAGCATTCTTTCTCCTTGCACAGCAAGCAGATAAGCAAATGTGTCCTCTAATTTCTTACTTGGCGATGAAGTTTCTTTTGTGTTATTATTATTATAAATTAAGAGTAGAATAACTCCACATCCATCGTCATTATTTCAACAAAACAAAATGATTATTATCTAATACGAATCTTATCAAAAAACCAAGTTGTCAAACAATAATGTAGTGATTAATGTCACATTATGTCATTTACTTGTATTTTGTAAGTTACTACTAACTTGTAATATCTCAACGAAAAATGCTAGCATCAATCGTGCGTGTGCCCGTGACGCATAAATCTTGAATCACATTTTCATTTGACATCAACCCAAATATTATCTTCACAAACAGCCACATAAACCATACAACTTTTTCATACTCAATTGTTGAGTTATTTACCATATAACTTTGATTTCCAGATGACAAATACGCTTTTTTAACGCACAAAAAGGAAAAACACACATTCATCTTAGACTTCTGAGTTGGTGTGTGGGGTAAGCATTTGCTGCATTTTTTTCCATTGACTTGATATCCATCATGTTAGGCTAATTTTTTCAACTACGTAATAATTTGTTCAACTAATAAATAAGTGCAAATTTTACACGCGCACATATAGGAACAGTACATCAAAAGGCTGGTGGGATGCCTTATGCGTAGCCAGTTGGATCACTTACACTCTATGGACCACACCCACCTCCAGAACCCCACATCTCATTTTCTCTGCAATTAATCTGCAGTAGGATTAAGATTTCTACTTCCATTTCATGGTTAATTATATCTTTACGACATAATTAAAGGCATGTTTGAAAGTACTTTTGAAATGGCTAAACGCTATTCTTGACAATCAAAAGCGCTTTTTAGAGAAGCACCATTTTCAAAGCACTTACAGTCTTCCAATAAAAGCGTTTCTAAAAAAATACTTATAAACAGAAGTGCTTCGTACTAAAACATTCACAAACAAGCCCTAAATTACAATTTAATTCTCTCTGTCTCTCTCAGATTTCAGAGGATGTAAATTGATTGTAATTTACAAACCCTGCTGCATTTGGTGCACCTGAGTTATGGAGGTTGTGGACCCTAATCAGGTCAACATATATTCTATATCTGCACAAGGGCCATCCTCTTCTTAATTGTATGGTGGTTGTATGGAGTAATGGGTATTTACGCTTTGCATTCAAATTTGGGTTCTAAAAGCTCAACAGCCGAGCAGGCACTCAATTAGAGCAAGCAAGGCCATGCCAGTTTTTATATCATATGTGTACCTCAATTATTGGTCACTATAATGTTACAGAGAGTGATGAGCAACTAGGCCTCATTCACCAAACTCAACCAAACCAGTGCTCTGGACATGCTCAATTTCGAATGGTGATCATGAGTATATACATACAAACATATATATATATATATATATATATATGCTGTGACATTTTGCTAATGCTTCATATGAAGCCTTATTTTTGTTCTGGTGCAATTACCAAGAAAAACCCGGAAGTTAAATGAGATGGGCAATTGGATTCTTGGTTGTGAGGTGTGTGAAAGTGACTGCAGTCTGCAGTTTCAAAGATGGAAGAACTGTAAAGCCAAATGCTTCACATGCATCAGATTCATGAAACCAATTGCTTCCTCTGCATCCATTTAAGTTCCCAAAATGCAAATATAAGATTGTTTATAGAGCTAAGGCCAGAGAAAGAAACAAAGATTATCTGATTATATATGTATAGAGCCAGAACAAGGCAAAAGAAAAAATTGTAATTAATCCTTTGTAGCGGTCTGTATGAACCTAATTCATAAGAAAATTACAAAAGCCTAGAAAGAAAAATAATAGTCAAACAAACACATGACTATATGAGTCTAGATTCTAAACTCTTACATGGGTTTTCTTCAAAGCTCTTGAAAATCACCTTCTGTACAACATCTCTCTACAAATGGAGCTTCAAAATTCAAGCTCTATACATATATATATATATGGTCATCATATATGTAGTGTATTATATATATATAGAAGTTCTCCAACTATATTTATGTTAAATGAATTGACTAGCAGATAGAGAAAAAAGATATCTTGAACCATATATATGTAATATAAATTAATTAAACAAGATAGCTAGCTAGATAGATATCTGACATTGAAACTCTTCAGAAGTTCGAGAGATCATCGCTTGTTGTGCAAAGGGTTTGATCCTGTGGGCACCCTTCGCTTCTCAGAGTCAAAGACTCTGGCCTGGCGGGTAGAAGGGGCACTAACAGATGGCCTGAAAACTTGCTGGCTTCTTGCAGGTGCAGGGCTCGGGAAGCTTGTTCGAATGGCACGATTGTTGGTCGGAGCAAAGAAGAGGAGCAGAGTGAAAAGGAGGCAAAGTTGAAAGCGATTCATTTTGTGAGTTTGAAGAAGAAGAAGAATGTGTGAGAGTGATGCAGAGATGAAAAGGCAAGGTGAAAAGCCTAGGTGGTCATTATATATATGGACATGTGGTTGGTCCATTTTTCATGTAGCTGTTGTTTTTGATGTTTTTTGTGCAAACAATTTGAAGTTTTTGTTAGAATACATGTAAGTGAATCACACGCAGAACCTCCACCGTCGATCTGGTGATGATCAGGAACAATTATGGGATCCCTGTGTGCTACAAATGACGGTTGGGGGGCGGTGGTGGGGTTATAATTCAATTGGATGGTGACATATATTGAAGCCTACACAAACTTGTATGTGAAAATCTTGGAGGGGTTTGCTGCCGCTTTCAACCAAAATGTCTTCGCTGATTTCATATTGAAATTTAAAACTAAAAATTCAAATTTAATACTTGAAAAATGTACAAAAACTAACTAAAATACTATTGTGTGACGTTATTAATTCATACGTGATATGTTGGAGAATAAATTTATATACTACAAGTTGAGTGTACCGTAGTTTGTAATATTACACGAGAGTGTGAGGATCATGCTGAAAAATATAATAAATTCAACTAAAAAGTCAGAGGTACAATGCCGACTCTTTTGATTAATCTATGTTATGGCAGAATATGAGGTGCATACATGAAACCACGCGTCTATTATAACTTACTTAAATGTATCGCATCATTTACTAATGATCAACATAATTAACTACGTTTTATTGCTGATGAGATGAAATGTCTCTTGGGGAGGGTTCTGAAAGTTGACATTTTAGTGCTGCTTCAATGGAGAGACAACACGTGAGCTTGACAATTTCCAATAAACAGTTCCCCCAATAGAAGCTTTCTGGAAGAATGATTTTTGGTCTCAAGAGCATAAGGTTCAATCCAAGCCAAGGCAATTAACCTTTTTTTTTTGGTGTAGTAGGTTATGTTTAAGCCAATTCTATATAAGTTTCAACCATAAGTGGGTCTTTTTTTTTCTCTTTTAAAGTTCGTGGAATATTCATATCCCAAATCATGTAACTTTGAATGCTACATAATATTTCTGTAATATAAAAACGAAAAAGCAGAAATTACTTTTGTTTTAAAAAATCTTTTCTATTAAGAGAGATAATAACATACTAAACTCATATATAATACACGAATGCTAATACTCAAACCCAGAACCTATTCTGGGGAGCAATTACTCCTACACTAGTGGGTGGCCAAAAAAAAAAGTCATAGTTAATCAACTACAAAATATGAACCTTTTAGGTGCACGGGCGGCAAAAGTTTTCTACTTTCCTCATCAAATTCCTTTACCATAAGTCTGATATTTTGGTCCTCCTTAGCTAGCTAGACCTAGACCCAAAAATTCTACTCCCATTCCCTTTCCTTTTGCAGGTAAGATTTCTCACAAGGAACTAAAAATACATGCTTTCAAACCATAGCAATGGCCCTTGAAGCAGATCCAAGACCTATAGGAATGAGTCAACCGTAATTATAACAAGGAAAAAAAAAGAACATTTGACCTTGAGAAATCTGCATGATTATTTTTAGTTGATGAAATCTTTGAACAATAAATCAAAGATGGATGGATCGATCAACACCTAACAATAAAGAGGCAAATCTAAGAATTCATCATCATAACTACAGAAACATGATGGAAGTTTAATAAGAGACGACGAACGCAGAGAGGAGGTCAAGGCATGACTTTTTCCAGCTTGTACGGCATTCAGATTTGAGGTGAATTTATATATATATATATATATATTTCAAACCTAACCCTATTATATATTTATATTATAATATGGGTATGGGTGGTAGCACAGATTTTCCGGGGGGTCCGCCCACATAGATTTTCACTTTCAAAGTTGTGTTCATTAGCAAAATATATTTAGATTATTGACAGCAGCACCGACTTTATTTTATTTTTCTGGGACAACACCATACATATACTGTATACATTAATGTGATGATGATCGCAAGCATTGATGATGCCTAGACTTTACTTCTCACAATCTTGGCCGTTTAAATTTTGCATGGTGCACCCACCTGCCCTCTGATAAATCATTCAATACTCCTTTCCTTTTGTTTTTGGTCGAAATCATTCAATACTTCTCTCCTCTATCTCTCTCCTTGATGAATTCGACATCATTTTGTTTTTCTAATTTTTATTTTTATGTTTAGAAATCACTCACTTCTAAATAATGTAAGCTTATAAGTGAGCTAAGAGAGACAACCCTAGCTCTAGCCTCCTCTCTCCCAAAAAACACTATACAATCGTTTTTACTTTGAGGGGGGAGGAAGTCACTGTTCTTCCTCTCCTCTCCCCTTCTCCCTTCCCGCTTTTCCTCTTTTCTCTAATTTTCAGAGATAAAAAGTTTCCCCTATTTGTTTTTATTTTTTTGTAACGATTTTTCTCTACTTATCACAGACGGATGCGTCTTGGCGTCGGATCTCTACCTGCGTTTTGGTGTCGGATCTCTATCATCATCCTTTTTACGGTTTTATCATGTTTGAAATAAGTCGCAGAGTTTTATTTGTTTTGTTATGACTTGGTTTTTTTTTCAAACTTTAACTATTTTTTGTTGTTCTGAGTTTGCACTCTTAGTTAGGATGTCTATACCAGAGTTTCTTCGATCTTGTGTGATCATTAGTAGAGGAGCCCTAAATTATAAATGCAATTCCATAATTTCTTTATAAAAATAAATAAATAAATAAATCACTCAGTTCAGTTTATTGTCACCTATCATTTTCAGTGTATGCTTAGAGGCTAATTTATTAATTACCATCAAATGGGCCACTGAATTTTATTATTATGTAATTAAGGCAAAAACCCAACATATATATATCCCCCTCGAGGTTTTGCCGTCAAAGAATTTGCTGAGCAGCATATAATGTTTTTTATATTATAAATTTATACAAAAGTAATAGAATTTGAACAAGATACAAGGGCCACACAGCCACAAGATAATATATTATCATCGACATTCATGTGAGTTGAATCTAAGACCTCCTCCAACTAAATAGACACAAATTCATAAACTAAAGGTTAGTTAGCAAGTGTATATTTTCACTTCTTTTTTTCCATTTGTTTCCGAAAAGATGTCAAAAAAATCCGAATGCTTATGATTCCGGAATACTCAATCAAACTATTCATGAAAACAATATAGTAACACACAAAAATATAAGCAATGCATCCGAAGTTGGATGAAATTATAATTTGAAGCAGGATAATATAACATGTTATAATTAATGGTGTTATCATGAAAACAATTAACAATCAATCATAATTTATTTATTTATTCATAAACCTTCTAAACATAGTAAGAAAACAATTGAAATCTATTTCCATCATCACATATCTCAGTCAGGCTCTCACCAACCACCCAGAAACCTGACCACCGGTTTCACATCACATCCACCATCTCAAGAACTTTTCCCCAGTTCATATTGAAAACTATGAATGAAGTTGATGGAATTGAATGATTAGTGGAAACTTTGACATGAAATGAAGGATGAAGAAAAAAGTAATGATTTTGGCCTAATGAGCATCAAAAATTCCCAATGTGGCATCAAAACTTCGACGGCCCCTCCATTTATGCAACCCACTAAACTAACAACTTGATTGGAATTTCCCACCAACTTGATTGGAACAAATTAAGGTGATGGGTTCTTCTAATCCTAATTGCTAATCACGATGGACCAAAAATACACACACAAAAACTCAAGTAAGGAATGCATGTTGTCCAATTGTCCATGATTCTCTTCCTTAAATTTGAAATGTCACTGCACATAACCTACGAGTGTAGTGGTATGAAGTAATTGCTTTCTCAATCAAAGTTTCGGGTTCGAGTTCTAGCATTCGTGTTGTGTGTATGAATTTAGAATATTATCACCCCTCTTAATAGGAAATGTCTTTAAAATAAAAAAATAAAAAATAAATGTCACAGAAAAATAACGTGCTACTCACAAATGTTTGTGGCCTTCAAACTCAACGATGTAATTAGGAGCATAAGCATAAAACAAAAGGAATTTCTTGACCAAAAAGAGGAAGAAGAAAAGGAAATGTAGTGTTTATATGTTATTTTAAGTGAGGTTGGGTTTTTAAGGGGGTGGTGGGGGTGTGGCATCAAATCTTTCACTGAGAAATATGGAAAAAGTCGAGATGTTGTTGTGTAATAAGGTTGGGTATGGCATCAAATCCAAGAGACTATAAAGGCATCTTTTACTAATTTTGTCTCAAAGTCAAATTCACTCGAGTGACTTTGTCCCTCCCTTACTAATATTGTCTAAAAGTCAGAATCACTTCCAATATGAATGCCATAGAGACCACCACAATAGGTCAAACCCACTTCCACCACCCTTTCTCTTTTCTTAAGTTTTTAAAAAATTTTCAGGTTGCTAATACATGGATAAGCTATTATGATATCATGTTAGAGTGTGAGCTTTCATTATTCGATGTGAGAAATTCTCAACAAGTTATATTCGGTAGTTTTCCCTTTTGCGTTAGTTATACATATTCGGTTTTAGTATTGGTCCAACCCATTTCATCAGAACGCATCGATTATATATATTTCTGTTTGGGCCTAGTTTTTATATACGCAGAGCTAAAGTCAAATTGGGCCAAAGCTATAGCCTAGGGTTTAATATCCGGGCCACTTGGAAGAAAATTCCACCAAATTTTCAAACTCACTCTTGGGTTCGAGCCCATGTTGCTTTTCAGATCCGAGTCCAGAAGTAGTCCCTTTGGGTTTGGACCGTAAAAAGTCGAAATTTACAACCACAACAAATGAGCAGCCTGTACGGCCCATTTGGCTTGATTGAGATACTCGTTTCGTCAACAGTGTGGGTCAACGGGTCAACGCCCACGCCGGTCTTGGAAGGGCTATTTGTGTTTGGCTCGTTCACTCACCCCATGCCATTTTGAGCCGAGCTGAGCCAAGCCAAATTTGTCTATTCTGTGAAAGTAGTTCAACTACAAAACACACACATTAATATCCACCGATCTCCCGGCTGTCACGCATCCATCCAACTATCTCACATCAAACAAAATGAAATTTCAATCACAAAAATTCTTGGAAAATATTCTTAAGAAACAAATCAAAAAGTTGTAAGGTCATCTCCAACCCATGAGGTCAAAACTTAAAATTTCACTTTTAGTCAAGAAAAACTCCTCCAATATGAGGCCATCTCCAACCCAGTAGGGCAAATTCAAAAAATCCTAAATTTTAGCCCAATTTCTCTCCCAACCAAAGAAAAATAATGAGCTAAAATTTGAAAATGCATGGATTGGAAATTTTATTTTTTGGTGGAGCCCATATGTAAGGAGGGCCCGCAGCTGCTGTGTTGCAAATGCTGTTGTGCCAGGTGTCGTGCATTAGTGTAACATTGCCTTTTTTTAAAATTCAAACAGTAACCCAAATCAACAATCCAAATTAAATCCAAGCTATTTTAATGGAAAAAAAAAAATTCAACCGCTGACTTTTAAATCCAACGGTCAAAATAATATTATAAATTAATCTAAATCATATCCAACCCCAAAACTCACTCCAAACATTATAAATACCCACCTATTTATCAAATAAAATTATATTTGTAGAATTTCAATTTTTTTAGGTTAAATTGTTCAAAAAAATTAAATTATAGGGTTATTTAAAAATATTAAAAGAAAAGAAAGTTATGTTGATTTTTTTTTTTTTTTTTTTTTTTTTTTTTTTTTTTTATAACTATATTTTAAACAATTTAATAAAGTTGTGGATTTAAAATTTGAGTATAATGGGTTGAGGGTAAAAAGAGTTTGAGTTAAGGCAAAACTCAAATAATTACTTTAAAATTTGGATTTACAACTAAATGGGTTTGAGAATGCATGAGTAGAGAGCAGCTAGAGGGAAATGCAGCCGCGTATGACCTGAGTGAAGTCCATCACCTACAAATTTGTTGGTCCAAAAAAAATTATAGTAAATTTGGCTTACACCCTTCAAATTCAATTTGCCATACCTAAAACCCTTCACTTTTTGTTCCTATAAATAATACCCAATTTGTATAAGTAAAAACCCATGAATAGGATCCAACTCAGTAAGTTACCTAATTAAGCATAAAATCTGATTTATTGTACTTTTCAAATTCCAAAAATACCCCCAACTAAGCCATTATTGCATTTTGTATATTAATGTAGGAATCGATATGGAAACAGTTTTTAATTGGATTGTATATAATGACAGATGTTGAATTTGGAAAGATCTCCAAATGATTGTAATAGAGGTAGGAATTAATTTTGGAACATTTTTAAAAAAATTTAACAATAAATTCAAATTTGGGTAATCGGTTTGTTTAATAAAATGTTTATGTTATTTTCTTTTTATGAATTATACATGACTAATAATCCACTTTATAATTGTTTATGAACAAAACTGTACATACTAATTATGTTGAAAAAATAATGTCCCTATTTGTTTTATGAAAAATATAATTTACCTAGTATGAAAAGTTTACATAATTATCTATTCCAATATACCTACATTATACAACATCCAATATACCTACATTAATTTTAATGTACTTACAATTAGGATTTAGGTATTATATGTCATCCGATGTACCTACCATTTGAATAATATACCTACTACGAATAAAGTACCTATTATTTATCTAAATAATGTACCTATTTTTTTCTATAAATAATATAGCCTTTTTTTTCTGAATAAAGTACCTATTATTTGTTTTATTAAAAGTAATTTTTTTTAAATGAATCTATTTTCTCTCTCCAAATAACTTACCTATTTTTTTCCTCTAATAATGTACCTATCTTTCCTCTCCAAATAATGTACCTATACACATTTACAGGTATATTGTAAAATAATTTACATGTGGGTAAATAATGTACCTATATTTTATATAAATTATTGTGTACCTATTTTTAATTATGAAAAATATACGCAATTACAAAGTAACTGACTTTTTTTTTGGGGTAAATAATATACCTATATTTTATATGTATATATTTATATTATATTTTTCATACGTACATTATTGGATATGTAATATATATATATATATATATTTTGTAATTTTAGGGGGCGAGATGTGAGAGGGAATGACAACTAAAAGAAATGGGGTGATTGATATGCTATTAATAGGGAATATATTAATTACAATTATGGCAGTTAATGAAATGCTTGAAATAAATTATAAATAAAATATGAAGTTTAGTGGCAACGATGTAAAAACATAGAAATACTACGACCTCTTATGTCCTACTGGTCATTTAAATTTGAAATTGGGTTTTACACATAGATTTATAGAGTGATGGGTATATATCTAGAAAATAAAAAATGTAGGGATCTATATTGGACAAGCCCAAAAAATTAATTTGTAGGCGCTGGGCTCCACTCAAGTCAAGTGCATCATGTGGACTGCATTTCCCTCTCAGCCTAGCGCCTACAATCGTTGGCCACTCCAGTGGAAATTCGTGGGACGCGTGGCAGCTCCCTATAAAGGAGTCGTTGAGATCAAACAGCTCCCTTTGAATGGAGATTATTTTTCTGGGCTTCATATAGGAATGTTGGGAAATAGCTTTGGGGTTGCAATTTGTCTCTCTTCCTCAATGAAACATGAACCTGTGAAAATAGCTTCTGCCTCCCTTAAGAAACAATCAAATGTTATGTTTTATCTCATTTTCTTTCTTGCCAATATAGATTCTTTTCTATACCTCAAATGTTATGTAATTTCAGGAGTTGGGTGTTGTCTGGGTTGAGTGTGACCCTTTTTGGGGTGGGGGAGGTTGGGATGGGGGTTGGGGAAGATGAGATGGGTCGGTGTTTTCTGGGTTTGGCTTGATGGTTTTTGTTTCTGTTTTTTTTACTTTTTTACAAATATATTTGGTTTTAACATGTTTAATTCATTTAAAAATAAAGAAATTTTTTATTAATTTTTTCCACATCAGCAAAAAAAAGCCACACGAGAAGGCTACATCATCATTTAACAGATTGACTAACGATCTAACTAACGAAGTGACAAATTTGTATGTTTTTCGTAAGTTCAGGTACCCACGTGCAAAAGTGGTATTGACTTCGAGACTAGTGGTATCCGATTTTAAAAAGCATTGATATTGACTTACAAACTAATGGTCTCAAATTCGAACTCTGATGACACATTGAGATTGTGTGTAGGGCGAAATCGAAGTTCAATATTTAGGAGGCCCATAAGCTGAAACTTTTATCATTTTTCCTTATTATCTCATTCTGTATAGCATAGACATCGGACTTCTGTGTTGACTTAGGACCTGCGTACCCAATTGTCTCCTCCATACCTTCAAAAGGGACAAAAAAGATGCAATCACTTTTTCACTGAGAGAAAACAATGAGATGTTCTTGCTTTCATATGGTAAACTAACAAAATAACTTATGAGGAATGCAAACAAAAGAACTACTTAATGGTACGACGAGAAAGCAGACCCCTGCATGACTTAAAAGGTCATCAATCTCTTCAGCACCTTGCATCCAGTAGCTGAAATTTAATTTGGGTGTTCATGCAACCTTTCTCCAGAAACAATCAACTCAAAACCGCGGGAAGGTTTTCACTTTACTGTCAGGCGATCACAGACGCCAAGTACGACAACGAAACACTAATTATTCCAGAATTTATTAATTTATTAATTTATTTAAAAATTATCTGCCTCATCATTCCCAGCAGATCAAAAGTTCAAAAAACCCGGCCAGGCATCTAATCATAGACGCAGAAAAAAAAAATCAAAACTATCAGTCAACGGTCCAAAACCACCCCCAAAAAAAGCATTCATCTTTCTCTCTGTTCCTATTCAACTTCGATCGGAAACCAGAAACCCAGTTCTCGAATTTGGTTTTCTGTGACTTGGGTTTTGTTTTTTTGGATTGACCAGATGAGATTTCGAATTGGGTTGGGGTTCTTGGTGCTCCTCTCGCTTTGTTTCACAGTGAAATCCCAGTGCATCAGAAGCTGCGATTTGGCTTTAGCTTCTTACTTCGTATGGCCGGGCAGCAATCTCTCATTCATCGCCCGGGTTATGGAGACGAGCGCTTTGACCATCGGTAGCTACAACAAAGACGTGGTGCCCAACAGAGACAGTGTTCAAGTTGGTAGGATCAATATTCCTTTCTCATGTGAATGTGTAAATGGTAACTTTCTTGGCTATATGTTCGATTACGATGTCAATTCAGGGGACACGTACCACACGGTTGCGGAGACTTACTTTTCGAATTTGACGACGGTTGAGGCCATGGAATGGTTCAATAGCTATTCTCCAACTTATATACCCCATTCCCAATTAAACGTGTCTGTGAATTGTTCATGCGGGAATAGCGCGGTTTCTGAGGACTATGGTCTGTTTATCACGTACCCACTTCGGCCGGGGGAGACTTTGGCTTCGATTGCGCAGAATGTGCAGCTGGATGAGACTTTGTTGCAGAGGTATAACCCTGGTGTGAATTTTAGCCAAGGGAGTGGTTTCGTGTATATTCCAGGCAAAGGTACGAGTTTTTGTTCTCGATGAGAAAGGCTCTTGCCTGTGTTTTGAACTGTAGAGTTTTGATTCAGACATTTGAATAGACGTTTTAGGAATGCATGTGTTTGAATTTTATTACTAAATTAAGATGCCTTGACTCATATTGCAATGTTCATGAGTACAGCACTAACACTGTCAACTCTAATTATTATTTTGTTTCTAAAAGTTCAAATGACTTTTTTATTATTATATAAAAATCAATAGAGGAAAAACCACAAACCTATCACCAGCCACCCATGACCCACCCCACTCACGGCAATCCCTTCCCTCCTTTAGGTTGATGCCATCAAAAGGAAAAGGTTGCGTACAATTGATTAGAAAGGTCTCCTCTTAGGAAGTGATAGCCAGAAATTTAGGAAAAAGGAAAATGTCAATTGCCAAACCGAAATCCAACAGGAAAAAATTTGGGGTGGACTTAAGAAATATAGTGTGATTTTTACAGAGTTTTTCAGGTTACCGGTACAAACCAGATAGTTTCTTTGTTTCCCACTTTGAATAATGGAAAATGCTAGAGGCATCAACTTGGATACCAACTCTCTAATAGAGTGTGGATCCCGGTGTATTGGCGGGCCCCACCTCTATTAGAGAGTTGGTGCCCAAACTTGGTGACTCTAGCACCACCCGTGAATAATGTTTGGTAAAGTGCTAGTTGGTATAATGCCTTTCCTGTGGATATGGACCAGGTGGGCATCTTGGCTGATGTGTTGAACTGGTCAAGATTACAATAAAACATTAACAGTTTAGTTGTAAGATAGTCATTAGTGACAAGGTTTTTAGCTTAATTATCATCCACTTTGTATCATTAATCCATTATCCATGATTCATTGATGCATGTGTCAAAATGCTAGTGAAAACATTGAGTTTTTTCAGGGTGGCCCGTGGCCCAAATGGTAATAAATACAGTGTCACGAATAGTTAATTGCATTACTCCAATTTCAATATAGTTTTGTAGAGGGCTAGAATATCAACTTCCCTCACATAAGTTCTTGTTTCTTTTTTATCTTGCAGATCCAAATGGAAGCTATCGGCCTCTGAAGTCAAGGTAGCTTCAACACCTCTACATGTTAACTGAAAATTGTTAATATTTCTGAGTTTGATCTTTCTATCCATTTTGCAGCTCAAAAGGTATGGTCTTCTCCAAAAATTGGTTTCATGTTCATATGCCAACGTGCGAGGGTTTGGTCAGAAAGCTCAATGCTACTTGGAGCTCATATTTTTCTTTTGTATAAATAGGACTAGCAGGTGGAGCCATTGCTGGCATAATCGTGGCAGTAATTGCTGGAGTTCTGTTGTTGGCTGGTGGTGCATGTTTTGGATTTTACCGAAAGAACTGGCGTTGTATGTTACCTACTCCTCTCCTTGTATATATTCTCTAGATATTTGTGAATGGAAGTGTCCTTCAAAGATCTTTTTGGCTTCATCAAGTATCTTTTTTAACTTTGACTCTTTGCAGAAACACCAGTTAGAGTAGCATTCATTTAGTCTTGTTAGTGGTTCATTTTTTGTTGAACAAATTGGAAACTTTTCTTTGTCTAATATCAATTCCACTGACCTATATCTACTACGTATTGTGCTACTTTGCTCGTGGAACTGAAAGTTCATTCTATTTTACTAGTTGTTGCCCTCATACGCTCCATGGTTTTGGCAGCAAATGGATATTGGACATGACTTGATTGATTTTTTCTTTTTGGGATTACCACAGATAAGCCTGAAGAATCAAATGGTGCTGCTCGTGTCTTAACAGGCATTAAAGTGCACAAATCAGTGGAGTACTCATATGAAGAACTTGCCAGGGCTACTGATAACTTCAGTCTGGCTAATAAGATTGGACAAGGAGGTTTCGGAGCTGTTTACTATGCAGAGCTGAGAGGCGAGGTTTGTTTCCTTTAATATTTTCGAGTATCATACGTGGACTGTAAAAGAAAATTTTCTCAAGTTGGATGGTGTTTTTCTCATTTAGTTGGATGGAAATGGACGTAGGATGGAGGGAAGGGAAGGGAAACCTTTATTTATTTTTTGCCCAAATAAAACATTTCCGTCTGCAATGAAATGGAGAAAGTTTCCATGATTTCCATGGTTTGCTTTTTCTTCTCTCCTTTCTCCATGGTCAACCAAACACATAAAGGAAAAGTTTCCATGATTTCCATCCTTCCCCTCTCTCCTCTTTGCATTATTCAACCAAATGAAGCATTGATTTATTTTTTAGTCCAGCTGCATGAATTAGAATCTTATGGTGACTAGGACTATTATGTATTCCTTTTTCAAATTATCGAAGTATAAGGTCCACGACAAGAACTACTTCACAAAAGTCATAGCTGAATGAATAAAACTACTTTCTGTGACTATAATATACTCTGCTCTGAATTTTCTAGTCAAAGGGAATTTTTCAGTCATCCGCTCATCAAGCCAATCCTGCAAGTCAACCATCCACTGAATCTGCTGCTACATGATTGTTGCCTATTCAAACCCTCCAATCCCTCATGTAATTTTATTTGACAGCAATATGTATATTTACATTCCCTTTTTGGTACCCATGTAATTAGTAAGACTTGTATATATTGACGTCAATGTACAATGATAAAACCATTGTGCATTTCATCAATTCCTCTCTCCTCTTACTTTTCTAAATTATCATCTGTAGACCATGTTTTGTTTATGTTGTAATTTTTTATTTCACTCTCTCTTTGCAGAAAGCTGCAATCAAGAAGATGGATACGCAAGCATCAAAAGAATTTCTTGCCGAATTAAATGTTTTAACTCGTGTACATCATTCTAATCTGGTAATGACCTTATCTTTCCAAAAAATGACAATGTACATGAATCTTGCAAAATAATTACCAAGTAATTGATGTTTCCTTTTCATTAGCAATTTTAATCCACATAGTTGCTTAGCATATTTTTGAAAGAATTGCTGGAAATAACTTGAAGAAATTTCGTATGTGTCTATTTTTTATATATTTTAAAAAGAATCTCCTATAATCCTTTTATTTCCAATCTCCCAATGTAAGTTGAATTTCACATCACATCATAACAACTTAAGTTTTTGGGACTAGTGGTTGAGACTAGATAAACCAACAAACTCTTATCAGGTTGCAAGCATGTCCTAGTGGCTCAGGAATCAGAGGTTAAGTATATGATCAGAGATGTAAGTACTAGAAAGATACTTGAACTAAGCAAAAGGATGTATTAAGATAAGTGTTTTAGTATATAAATTCTGCAATGCAATGTGTTTTGTTACTTGTACCTAACTCTGATTTTGCATTTATA